GCGTCAATCGAGAGAAGCACGCATCCATGAATTAAGAGGTATAGGGTGAGTCACAGCACACCAGAAAGAACATGGTAATCATGAGGTCGATTGTCTGTCATCAAGGTTGTCTCCAACAGTGTGATGTTTACTCAATGCCCTGCTGAATATGCTCAGCGCTTTCATCCGAGTCGGGGTCAGCACGGGAGCGCAGAGCACGAGACCGCTGCTTGCTTGCTCGATCAGCAGCAGTAGCAACGCGTAGGTCGCCAAAGCGGGAGGCGATGTACAATCCTTTTTCAAACTGAATGCTTGCTGTGCTTGATGAATGTCGCCCGTGGACGACTGAGAGTTCTGCTTCTGTGGCTTCGTTGGCAATTTCGTCATTGCGAGTTTGACGGCGCATCCAATACAGAGCATTTTGCATCTGCATGAGGAAGGTGAGTAGTACAACCACGAGGCCAACCTCCTTTGCATCGTCTCGACCCATGACAGCTGCAACCGAAGCTGCAGCCAGGGCGGGAAGCGTAACCGTATATTCGTAGACATAGAGGTCTCGGACTCGCCTCGAGGATCGCTGAAAGGCCGCTAAGATCGACATGATGCGTTATGTTTGAGTAAAAGCTTTCGTGGAAATGCAGAGTCAGATAATGATAGTTTTCTAAAGTTTTCGTCAGGTTGTTTTAGAGGGTTAAGGTGTTAAGTGCTCAGCAGCTATTTATGCCTTTTCTCATTTTTTGCGACTATGGCAGGTGTTCAGCTTTTCTCATGGCAACACGTGTCTGTTAGTGAACAAGCTGCTCCGTAAGCGCATGCTATACTATGATGGTAGATGTTTTGTAATAAGAACAGGTGGAAGATTGTCGTTTGGTGCCATTATATCATGGTAGATGCAGGCTCAAGTGTTCATCAGTGCGTCAGAACCTATGATTGAACATATGCACAGTGCCGCTTCAGCGGTCGCTGAAGTCCTACGATAGGTCCAGAGGCGTCAGACGATGAGGACGAAGAAGACGGTGAGTCCACATATAGCGAGGTAGTCTTGGGGCATGCGGATGCTCTTGACTTACAGCCCAGTATTTCCGCAGCAGGCCCAGTCCGTTCTTGGAGGCCCATGCGTGCTGCATGTCTAGGTGATACCAAGTCGTCTAAATAGCGACTTTGCCCATAGAGAAGCTGTTTTGGTACATCGTAGCCCAATTCCGCAACTAGTGATGGGCTAAGTTTCGTCATCTCGCGATGAATGAAGTCGCACCATTTCTCCTCAGAGTGGCACGCAGAGACAGCATCCGATACGCGATTCCAGCAGTACTCGAAGTTTTGCTTCGGGACTAACTGAATAGAGGTAGATTGAGTGCATAATGGATAAAGATAAACTCTTTAAAATTGATAGGATTTTGAAGTTGTAGAAGCAAAGACAGCCGTAGCTAGGTGTACGCAGCCTCGGTTTACGAAGCTTAGTGCAGTATTATTACCTTGCTCACATTTGCGTCTTGGTAGTCGTTGGTCGCACCAAGTCTAATGCGCACCAGCCGTGGATCGTCCTCAAGCTTCATAAAGTCCATTGAGTTCACGCTCTCTGGCAATCCGAGCCGAGTGTAACTTTCTTGCGTTCGTGTGTGAGCGACACATGTTTCGCGACATAGGTTGCCGTTCTCCGGAGTCCCGGGATTATCTGACATTTTTCCTTTAGTGACGTGGAGACGAGAGCGAGGAGCTTCTAGATTCGTATGTGAGAGAGGCGAGTGCTTTAAGCTTTGTACTCAGAAGTTGAATTGTGAGGACACGTAGGTGTACTTTTTTGACGCTAGAGACATCACAGATGAGTAGAGGAAAAAAAGAGAAGAGTTGGTAACTGTTGAGTAGCACTCGTTCCAAGAATCTCTCTCGACTTTCGTCATTATCAGCTGCACCAGCTTGCAGGAGGGCTCCCATTTCCGGAGGAGCAGTAGTCGGCGACTGCTTATTCATGTAGATATCAGAGTGATGTTGCTTTGCCAGTGTAAGTTGAGGGAACGATTTATCATTCAGGATAGTAGCTATTTCGTTGACTGAATACCTAGCTTTCAACCTTCACCTGTTCCCCGTGTTGGAAGTCAGCATAGGCGGTCAAAGAGAAGACCTGCAACCAACTAGTCTGAACCACGTGATAGTTCTACGAGTACATAGCTGCCCAGAGGAAGCGGCTAGAACCCATAGCCCCACAGGTGGCGGTATGCATAAACAAATCAAGAAACTCCAGCCCACTACCAGTTTAGTTACTTTATTCTTTCAATATTCTCATCTTGCTTATCTTTTGGCAAAATAAAAATCATCTACTTACATCTTTTTTGCCAGTATTCAGCGCAGAAGAGTAAAGACGTTTCCAGTATCTATTCTATGTATCTATCTATAACAACGTGCAGCAATCACCCGCAACAGTTTTTACAAAAAATGTTGGAATACAATCATGTCAATCTATCAGAATAGGCGCAATTGAGGTTTTCAATTTTTACAGCCCGAAGCCGAATCCGCCGGACCATATATCCAGAGGAGCATGGAGGCGTAGCCGAAGTAGCTCTTTCTATCACGAGAAGCACTTCTACCGTTAATTTCTTTGCTTGTTGAAGTTCTTTTTTGTGCCTGCCATGTGCACACCGTTAACCAAGTCAAATACTTTTTTGTATTTTCCAAACTAAAACTGTGAGATAGAAGACATAAGCTGTTCTTGAGTCACGAAATCATTAGTTTCGGAAGCTGCGAGAATAGCAAATAAAAGTACGCAAAACCAGGCTCTTTTCGGATTTTTTCACTGTGCGTACAAACACAGCTCGATGTCCAGCACATCGCCATACTTCTCACGCGTCTGGTTGAGTAGCCGCATTCCATGTAGTGCCGGAGCAAACGTGAGCAGTCTGAGGAGTTCGTTCAATAAGTAATTACAAAAGCTTCTTGCATACTCATTTCCAAGGATCTGACAACAACACTCATCGATGCATTTACCAACACCCACAAATTGTGACAACGAACCAGACGGAAGGCTTTTTCTTCATTCCACTTATTCAATGAATTAACACGAGCAGAAAGATCTAGAGCCAAAGAAAAAGTACAGTGTCGCACGACCACAGACTGTGTCTTTTCTTGGGCATGCAGCTGCGATTTCCTCTATTTTGTCCACGCATGCTTGAACAGCATCACTTTCCTGGACACGAGAACTATCAGTATCCAAAACAAAAGTTTGCGCAAACGTGTGCCATTCGTGAAGTTGGATTTCACGATTGGTGTTGGTCACAGCACTGCTAGAAGTAGGTGGATCTTGAAGATGCACTGACTTTGTGGTCCCACTTCCAGTCACTGTGGAGGTGCCTGATGTTGTTGTACTATTTGTATTTGCTACATTTGAAAGTCCTCGTGTTCCAGCTTCCTCGTCATTGTTGCTCACTGCCGCTGCGTTTTCGCTCGTGTCTCGGCTTGTACTAGAGGCTGGTACAGCGGGGACCGCCGCACCACGACCAATTCCCTCACATCCGTCAGCATCTCGGGGACTCGAGGAGCTCGTCGTCTTCAGTTGGTCTGTCGGGTCGTCAACAACCAGTTGTATTCTTGAAGCTGGATCCTGCTCCGATGAACTATTGCTGGTACCGGCGGTGGATGTGCTTGTTTTATTGGTCGACGTACTGGTACTAGCTGCGACAGCTGCACCACTTACAATAGGGACTGTCGCAGCGAGAACCTCGAGGACGATGCAGCCATCAGGAGCTTGAGCTCGTTCTTGTTGCGTGGACTTTAGCGCTAAGGGAACCCATCCGACCGGTGGCATCTCGAAGTCCAGCAACTCTAGCAGGTGATCCGTGCCAACGCGACCAAAGCAGGTGTGGCCATCGATCCTCATTTGCCTTGGTTTTCGTGATGGCGGAATGCCGTTCACTATACTCCCTGCTTTCGAAGAACGAAGCAATTTATGAAAGCCTATGTTCGGCGCAAACTCATCCCCCTCGTCGTCGTCCGCAGGTCGCGGAGGGCTTTTGCATCCCCCGAAACGCCGCGCAATCACATCCGCCGGATTCGGTGGCTCCCTCGCCGCCTGCAAACCGGCTGTCTCCACTACGTTTCTCCACTTCTTCGGTATTGAAGGTCGCCACTCATTGGTCACCGACTCTGAGCGGGAGGGGCCCCATACCTCTCTACTTCGATGTCAGTCACCAACCTCAATCAATCAATGACCAATGAAAGTTGAGCCTTAACTGTATGCCGTCCATCTCAGGATTGAAGAAGAGCGCTTTCGCAGTGTAGAAAGAGTCGACAATCCGGCCCATGCCAGTGACCGAAAGTGTTGACGTGTCGTACTTGTTATGCTCGTAGGCCGTCGCCGTGGATGAGCTGCTACCCCCTCCTCCTTGTGCAGTGTGCAAATAAATCAGCTGATACTTCTTCTCAACCACGCCTCCGTCAGAGGATTGAGGTAGAGTAGAAATTCCTTCTACTGCTCCTGTAGCAGTTGATGAAGATGAAGCTGAACCTGCTGATGCGCTTTGTGCTTGTTGTTCTGCTGATGAAGAGACGCCAGAAGACACGTGACTTTGCATGCGCCCACAGCGTTCCCCTTCAACACCAATTGTAGTTTTTATACTAGAAGGGGACTGCTCAACACCTTCTTGATGTTGTTGTTCACTAGTAGAAGGGGCGGCAAGAACGACGCCTTTCTCCTTCGTCGCTGCTGTGCTACTCGATGCAAACGACAACGGACCTTCCGCGCCTCCAGCTGTAGGCGATACAACTACACGCTCGAAGAGTCGGCAACACCTACTCGCAAGCTCTCGCGCCAAATCTGGTGACAAAATCCCCAGGTTGTAGGCGCCTTGGACTGTGTAGCCCATGTGGTTCGCGGGAACGTTGATCACCCTGCGTTTAATTGCGTCATGCAAGGTCAAGTTCAATTTGCTGACCCCGAACCTGGACAAAGCCCACAGCAACTTGGCGAGGTCCTGCGAGCGCGGCCTTTTCTTCCTGTCCTCCAGCTCGTTCTTGATGCTAGGAAGTATGAACTTCAAGAAGGGAAGGTGACTGCAGCGGACCTTCGCAAGCGCCCACAACATTCTAATGCCTGCTGACCAGTCGAACTTGATCTTCTGCTCTATCGCTCGTTTACACGCGTTTGAGAAGAGGGTCTTGTCCATAATGCCGCTGTGCGCGAAAGCGTAGCACACTATAGCCGTTTCATTCCCCAGTTTCAAGGCGCGAGAGAGCACAGTTGGGTAGTCCATGTGATTCAGCAATTGGGTCGTGGCGTCTGAGAGACGCCGGTAAAAGCTACTCCTATGCAGAAGTCCCGCGCGACCAAACCTAGAGAAAGACGACGACGAGACGATGTGACAGAGTATGAATGAGAATAAATCCCGTGCGTTAGTGTGGTGATTTCGGGTGAGCCATTTGACATCAGATCCATCTAGAAATTCAAGTTTGCCCCTGCAACAGCTAGTTAGCAACTAATGCACAAAATAAGACTCAGTTCGTCGGTGCTTCACCTACGATCATAGCGAAAGCATGACTTTCGACTTCAAAATGAATCTCATAAAGAACTACAAATGTACTAGTAGAAGTACGCTAAAGCCACCGCTGCGCAATCATCAAGTGATGTGATGTCGTAAACTTTGGACGCAAAAATCTGGAACATGGGGTCTATGCCACGCGGGTCGAGTTTTGCAAGAGACCAGCTTAAGTTCGGCAGGTCAGCGACATGAAACCAGTCGACGACTTCGTGCAAACGTCCTACCATACTATCCACAAATCTCCTAGTCGAGTAGTTCGCCGTGGCGCACGCCCACAATATTGTTACCAGAAGCTGCGGAGTAAACGCATCCGCGACCTCGCTTGCTGTTGTCGTAGAGATAAGAGTAGATTTGAGAAGATTGTTGAGATAATTCATTGAAGGTATTGATTGATGTTTGTAGTAGCAATAATTAAAAGATAGCATTAGGATGCATGGTCTTGGTCACCCTCGCCTAAGAATCCCTATAACACTACAATTTTTTTGAATTTATCTATAAATATTAGATTAGCACACATCATGCAAGCCTTAGTTAACAAAATACTAGTTCCATCTCCACAACAAGAATACTACCTCTCCTCGTCAAAACCCGGAAGACCTCAGCGTCATAGACATTATTCGAAGCATATGTCCACATAATCGTTGCAAGATTGTGACTTTTCAGCGCAGAGGCATTCTCTACCAAGGCGTGCCTAGCAATGTGCAACAGGTTGGGAAACTTCGCGAGCATATTCACCTTTGCAAGACCCCATAGCATGTTCCCATAGTGGGTTACATGCATTAGAAGGTAAAACTAGGTGGTTCCGAGTTCAAATTGGCGGGCTATAACTAGCCTTGAAGTTCGCGTTGATGTTATTGTTTGCAATCTTCAATGCAATAACTGGGCAGGAGTTTCAGCTTGTACAACTACAGCTATTTTCGAGATGGCCGACGTGGGCATAGCATTTTCGATGGACGGTCTACCCTAGGATATGAAGGAAAAAGAGCCGGCTATTTTTTTTTATGTGCCTGAAGCGTCGCTGGACCTAAACCCCTACGTGTACGCGCATAGCAGGTAGCAGAACCAAAAGTTAAGCTTCTAACAAAATGAAAAGATGGTGTGATTTCTATTTTCTTAAGTTCAAATCCTCTGTGAAGCCTTGCTCCACGAGCTGGGCGCATATGCGCGGAGACTTCATGTATTGAGCGGTGATGTCTCGCGGCCCGAGCGCAGGACACGAAGGGCTGGCAAGGGCAGAGACCTCGGAGGCTGCACCAGAGGAGTCCTTACTGTGTGAGTGGACCAGTGCTTCTTCGGAAGCGCGGATAAACGAAGCGCCTCCTCCCGCAGCTCCACTGCTGCGCACGGAACCTGTACTAGCTCCGCTGGCAGCTTCCTTCGCCGCAACGCGGCGCACTTGTTCTTCTCCGACGCTGTTCTGTTGCGCCAGAGATGCTGAGTCCACGAGTCCTGTTTTCGTTCCGGGTAGGGCAGCGCCACTGTTTGTACACGCGAGGTTCGAACATCCTCCAATGCTGGGATTCTTCTGGAAAATTTCAACACTATGATCGTTACTTGCTGCATTGGTGCTGGTGGGTTTCGCGACCCCAATATGTTGGTTACTATCCATCATCGTCTCCGCTCCTACTGAAAACGGGTCAAAGCTGGTCGAGCTGTCAACGCCGCCGAAAGTCGACGATGGCGGAGCTAAAGCCTTTTGGGCGCGCCTCTCCAACAAGCAAAAAAGTCGCTCACTCAAGTAGGCGACCCGACCGTAGAGTTAGACCTGCTACCAACAAACACAATTCATCTTTCAGCTGGTCAACCACTGAAGAGTATGAGGCAAAGCAGGATACTGCTCAGAAATACTTTCCAGTGATCGATCACGTCAAAGACGAATTACCGGGGGGAAAAGCCTTAATACAGTTCTCGGTCCACGTTCAGATTGGAGTGAAACCCGCTCACATGAATTATGCTGTAAATGAACTGAATCAACTGCGAAACGGGCAGGTAATCCGCAACCGATCCAAGCTCCTTCTCTTTGCTTTCATCGCTCCCCGGTTTGCGTCGGTCGATCAAATCGTGCACTACCTGATTGTGATCAGTTTCTTGATCAAATTATTACGCAGTGAATGCGCATCAACTTAAACAGCCTTGATAACTACACGGATGGATCAGAAAATACGACTTAGAGAAAGTTCTACACCCTAGTTCTTGAAGTTAAACTTGAAGGGCAATTTGTTTATCTTCCGCTTTTTAATCGTCTCCGTTGCTGCAGGATTTTGTTATTTTTGTTATCCATCGATCACGTAGAGAGCTTTTTGTGTGGTGTGTCATTTTTGATTTTTGGGTCTTGAAGATCAGGATCAGGCTCAGGATCTACTTTTTGATCTTGTCTTTTGGGTCTTCGCTTTTTCTAGTGGTCCTTATTAATTTGAAAGAAATCTTATTTAATCCAATGACACTAATAACGGCCACCAGGACCAGATAGACATAGATAAAATAAAAATTGATAATAGCCAAAGCACGTTCGTCGGGTCTTCACTCTACTTAGCCTACACTTCTGCCCATGGCACGCGGTCCCCAGGAGAGAAGAAACATAAGAACGCGCCAGCCTCTGTCGCTGTCCATGGGATGCAGCTATCATCTGCGCAAAAGCCACAAAAAAGGCGCCACTGTACCCAATAAGCCCTCTCCCCATCTTCCCCGGCCCCTCTTCTCCTCTACTCAGTCGTCTTGCCTCCGATGTCGCGACCTCAGACACAAGTGGCTGTGGCGCACCGCAGTGCTTCTGCAGGCAATCAAACATATCGCCGGGCACGGGCGAGGTACGTAGCTTGCTGGAAAAGCAAAGAAACAAAAGTAAACCCTAAAAGAGGGGCCGGGCGGCGCCCTCACGAAGAAGCCACGCACGGAGGCGGCAGCCGTCACATGCGGCTCCTGTTCCTCTTCCTTCTGCCTCCATCCGCGACGGCTTCCCGCGCATTACGCTTCCGTTCATTTTGCCCTTACTACGCAATCGACAGGCGCGAAGCGTGCGAGACTTTTCAAAAAGTGGCCCAAAGATGCCACTCCAATAACTTGGCCACCGCCTCCAGTAACGGCAATCAAGTGGCGAGAATCTAATGACAAAGAGCCCAAGGCCAGGCGCACGCGCATGCCCATACGTCGGCAGCTGCGCCGGTATGGAAGGCCTGGGGTTGGGTGCTGGCGTTGACAACGGAGGCCCACCAAGAACGCAGGCGCATCGATAGCCCCCGCCTCCAGTGGAGGGGGTGACACTCTACAAGGAAGCGCAACACGATCAACCCGCGGGCGCGCTTCGTGTGCGACTGCGCGGCGAAGTCTTTGCGCGACTGCGAGTCTTTCAAGACTGCGGCGATTTGCCTCCGCCTCCCTGTGTTCGAATTCCTTCACCAGCCGGCCCATGCTGGTCTTCGTTTTGGTGAAGCTGCTGCTTCTCCGGCGGCATCGACGTCCGCGATCGACGCGGCGAGGGGCTAAGCGCTGGCCTTTCCGGATAGCAAGACCGGCCCGCTTGCTCTCTGTTGGGCGCAAAGCTCGAGCCACTGGCTCCGGCGAAGGGTTTCCGCTAGTGTTGAGCGCACGCAGAACGGCCGGCAAAACTGTCAGCACCTACCGTGCCGCACATAGAGAAGAAAAAAAAGCGGCCGCTGTTGCATTATACCTGTGAAATAGCATCTCGTTTGTCTCCTGGCTCCAGCGTGTTCAGCACCTCGAGTATCTTTTGTTTTGTCGCTGCAGTTGTGTCAAAGTGATACTCATGGCTTTCGAGTTCTGGAGTGTCCCCGCAACTCTGGTCAGCCCAGCTGCGTTTTACCGGCTTATTGTTTTCTACACTAGGATGCTGACCCTCACTAGACCTGTCTTGTCGTGCCAGAGGCGTGCGGTGTGCGTCACCGCCGTTGTCTTGCGGTGCACAACTACTAGAAGATGCATTCCCGCCTTCATCCACCTCCACCATCCCGTCCTCGTAACCCTGCCTCTCAACAGAAGAAGAAACACCTGGGCCACCAGAAGAAGGGCTCCCCAAAGCCTTACTTCCCTCTACCTCTAGTGCTTCAGCAACCTCCATCGAAGATGTAGCTCTAGCGCCTCCAGAAGCGGTAAGGCTAGCACCAGCGGATCCCTCACTCTGGTGGTGGATTCCCTCTTGTTGAGCTTCCGTCTCTTCTACTTCTGCGCCGCCTCCTGTACTCAAGTCGGAACTTGCTGTCACTTCCCGCTCGGGCGCCCCATAATTGGAATCTTCTAAGAATTAACAGAAGTCTAATATATTTGTTGTACCTGCTTTTGCTTTTCCTCTCAGCATAAAACTTATGATCATTTCATAATATGACTGTCCAACCACTTCCAAGGACCACGGAACATACGTTGCAACTAAAAATAAAATCTAAAGCTATTCGCGTAAGTGGGTCACAGAAATTACTATTGGCGTAAGTGGATAATATTAAGATGTCTATGTGGTCACCTGTCATTCTTAACATGAGACCCCTCCACTCCGCTGCTGCGATACGACTTTTCCGGTTGCTCTACTACTTCTGCGTCTTTCCTTTCTTGCGTATCTCTATCTTCCGCTCGCATTTGCGGTTCTGTGTCAGAATGATGCCCGACCATTCCAGATGTTCCGCGCCCGTCCGCTGCGACGGACACGACCGGCGCGCCCTCTTCAAGTCGCCCTAGCGATGAAGCGGTTGTCAGCTCCTGCGTGCTGGACTTGCTACTTCCTCGGAAAAGGTCAAAGAGTCCCGAAACCGTGGTTTTCAAGACGGCCCCGATATTCTCGGATCCTGGCTCGCTCGAGGGACCGAAGGGCGCGTGACAGCAAGCGGCAGCGTCCGCACTCGACGCGAGCGGCACACCTCCGTGATACATGTCTTCACTGTCCTGTTCCTGATCCTCGTCCCCTGCGTCTGGCTCCTGCGGATTCTGACTCATCGGCGGAGATGCACCACCAGCAGACGACTGGAAAATTTAGACTGTAACATCAAAAGTCACGGTGCGGGCTCAAGGAAAAAACTCCAGTGGTACTAGAACCAAAATGTCTCGGGAACTTGTCCCCGAGGCCCCATTTTCTTCAAACGCGGAAGGAGATCATAGTTGAACTTGAATCGGCATTTGCCTATTTTTGCCATGATAAAAGCCACAATACGTTCACAACTGACTCAGCGTCAGGTTTTGTTAGGAGACAGAAGGAAAACAAGCAACTTACTTCTAGCCTTAAATGTTGACGAGTTCTGCAGGCGGGGATGAGGACGCGTGCCCTGCCCGTGGGGGCGGTGACTTCCCCCCACGGTTGGCTCCACCCCCACAACTCGGGGATGTCCCGCTACCGCAGGTCAGATAACTATTTTCTCCCCGAATAGTTCCCTCCAGGCTCGGCGTTCCAAGCATTGTTGAGTTTGTAACAACTGATGAAGCTCCGCCTGCAGCCCCTGTGAGGAGCTCCACCTCGTTCTCTGCACTACTCGAAGTAGCGCTTACAGCACTGGAGCTCGCCGCACTAGTCACCTGTGTCGCTGAGGGCTCCCAGCCATCCTTGTTGAATGATGAGCTAGCACCGTCGTCTTCATCCCTAACATCAACAAGAGCGTCTTCGACATCCCGATGACCAACACCCACACCGTCCACATCCACGACATGATCCGCGGCATCGTCTACCTCGTTACCGCCTAACAGATCTTTACTTGTGGTGAAAATTCCGCTTCGCAGTGGTGCAGGAGGCATGTCTTCCGTCTCCCCCGGACTGAGAGCGATCGGGCGTCCGTCCCTTAGCGTGGGCAGTCTATCTGCTGCAAGCGCTAAAGAAATCTGGTTCGTGTCTTCAATGTCCACGATAGGACATCGACTGCTCTCCTCTGGACTTGTCCTCGACGCTGCGCAGTCACCGGCCATGCTTGTCGCGGCGGCGGCGCCTCTGCTCAAGGCCAGCGTGTCCTCTCCTGCTTCGGCGGACATCATGCCTTCATTTTTCCGGTGCAACGCCTCGTCTGCGGAGGTGTCATGCTCATCTGGCGGGCCTCTGTCACCAGTCGTGGTACCCAAAAATGCATCCTCATTATTTCGTTGTAGACCTCCTCCGACATGATCGCGACCGAAGGTTGGATTCTGAAGATCTACATGAACGCACGGGACTCCTCCTCCCCCTAGTCCGACGCGCTCGCTGCCTAGGCCGACGCGCTCGATAAGAACTTTATCCAGCATTTCTGTCACATCGTCCTCTTCAGTCACATCCGCCATATCCTCATCTTGTCCTGCTACGTCCGAAGCATCACAGAGGTGACTTCCATCTTCGCGCTCACCAGAAAGTAAACCATCACCGACTACCAGAGAGTCAAGTTCAGACTTAGAGGAAGCCCGACCCGCAGAGAGAAGATGATGACAATTTCAAATTCAATTTGTGAGGAGTTCTGCAATTATATGTTGTTAAGAATAGGGACTCACTAAGAATATCCAAACAACGGCATGGCATCAGTCTCTCGCAGTCATACATTTACTACCGGAATAGTGCCATACTTTTACTTTTTTTCTTTAACTTCAACTTCTGGCCGCTGAAAACTTATCGCAAAAGTACAATTTCGGACTCATGCTCGTGCTCGTCATCAGAAACTAGTACTTATAAGATGAATGAGTGAGACGTAGTCGTTGTTGTAACGTTTTTGGCAGCAAGGTCAGCAACATCATTTTGACCTTATAGCCATGCATGATGATGATAAAAAGAAATAAATGAATATTGACTGAAGGGATAAACCTAAGGATAGAGGGAAAGCTAGCGGGTGGCTTTACTTTAGTGCTTTAAGCGTCGCTGGGCCTAAGCCTCATCCTTATAAAAAGGAAGAAGACAATCAAGATCTGCAGCACACCTCTAAGCCAAAGAGGAAAGTTACCAAGTTCCTGCTATGGGAGGAGGTTGCATAATTAGATGGCTTTTTTGTTTTTTAGCTGCTTAATATAATTAAGCCACTAACTCAACTCGCCTCGTCATGCTTTTGTACTCAAAGTCTAGGCATTACACTCCCAGAAGGTTCAGTACAGTAAACATTATAAACCTAGTAATATATGTTGATAGTTACAAAAGTCCATAACATCCTCTCCTTCTCCTGGTTCGACCTGCATCGTGATCTCGGCTTCGTCTCCGCGTTCTGAGGACCCCTCTACTACGCTGCGATCCGAAGGAGCAGCTCCGCTACCTGTGAGGTGCACCTGTTTCGCTGACGCAGCGTCGCCCTGCCAGCTAGACGACGTGCTCTCCTGCCGGGAAAAGGACGCCTCTGCTTCTCCTCCTGGTCCAGCGGTGCCTGGGTGCACTTCTCCCAGCTGCTTTCTAACCCGAACCCACGTTCCGCAGGCAGCGTCATAGATCCAGTCAGATGGGATACTCTCCGCACCTTCTAGCCCAAGGGGCAAAAGTGTGTGCTCCACAACATCCAAGCTCATATCCAGCAACTTCCGATAAGTGGTCTGGACTTGGTAGTCTTTGTAGTCGTCTTTCCTGCTGCTCACATCACCTGGTGAGCCAGAGGAGGTGAACAGAGAATCAACAACAACACTTAGAGTGGCAAAATCTGAGACGTCCAAGGTAAGCGGGGATCGTCTGGAGCGACGTAGCAACAAATAGTACGTGGAGGCGAAAGCTGAAAAACTTTATTAAGTCTAAGTAGATAGAGAGAAGCGGTACTACTGACCCTACGATATGAAGAACTTTATTATAATATATATAAGTAGATACGAAAACAGATATACGCACCAGGGAGGGAGGCCCCCTCTGTGGATGGAGCGGCGGCGGCGTCCGCTCGCCCTTTTTTTCGCGGTGGTGACATGTAAGGACTCACGGGGGGATAGGCCTCAAAAGGCGGAGCCGAAGGGCCCTGGCGGCTCTCCACGTGTACCCCACCGGCGTCCCGACTCTCTCTTGGACCCTATCAGAAGGACAGCCACCGGGGGAAGGAGGCCGCCGAAGGCCTGGCCGCTTTGGCCCTCCTGGGAGGCAGCAGGGGCCAAGCTCCTCCAGTGAGGAGTCCGCACACAGGAGGACTGTAGGGCACACGCAACACGGCAAGGGGGTCAAGCCTTGCCACCTGCTGGCCTCGGAGTCCCTCCACCCCCAAGGAGCTCCCCCAGTGAGTTGCCCGCACCCAGGAGATCTGTAGGGTACACGCAACACGGCAAGGGGGCAAGCCTTGCCACCTTTGCCGCCTTCAGAAGCCTTCCACCCCCCGCCGTCGCTGCTTGAACGGCCTCAGTGGTTTGGGTTCTGTACTAGGGTATACGCAAGAAGCCGCGAGGGCTCGAAGGTGGGCGTTTGGAGGCCTTCCCGCCCGGCAGTCCCTCGGGAAAAAGGGCCCGGGGCGGGAGGCCCCTCCCTCAAAAAGTTAGATCGGGGGGACCTTCAGCCCTGAGCCCTGAAACATATAAATTTAAAATATATATTAATATATATAAGACGACCGGTGAAGCTGAAGCCTGCGAGATTCAAACTATCTTCAAATTATTTGTAAATGAAAAGAAGGTAGTTGTACTTGTGACTCTCATTTTGGCCATGACGATTTGCACGATGATCATCTCATAGGCTGTTATGAGCAAGGGGTCCGGCGAGAAGAGCGGCGGTTCCGCATAGTGATATTTTTGAGCCTGGGCCTGCCGAAAAAATTCGCTGATTATATTTCGCACGTAGATTCTACCATTCGGAAGATCACGTGTGTAGCCCTCCTGAGTACACCCGTCATCTTCAATAGGCTGCGTCTCCTCAAAAAGCCTTCGAAACGCCGACACTACAGGTTCCTGGCTTGTCTCTGTCCTCCCGAGATACAGATGCTGCTTGGAGTCAGTAACGAGGAAACATGATCATCTATATCTGTAAAAATGCCGTGTCAAACAAAATGATGTTAACAATCTTCAGCAGTCTTGACTCAACACATTCCAGAAAATGAAAAACCATAATCGCGACCTCCTAGAAGTCGGTCTATTACAAAGAGATGGATAATCAGCAAATCGTTCAACAAGAAGTTCTGGGTAATAGACTAAGAATCTATTGGTTAAGTACTTTATGATTGCTTTGAAATGTGGCGGGTTCGTGCCTCTCTCTTTCCGGTTTAGTTCCGGCGGATGACCCGCCAACGGCATCAGAGGGGTAGTACGACCAGCGTGAGTCCGCTACGCTTCGTCCTCTTTGCAGCTGCTGCGTATTGCCGAAATGACTTCCTCCTCCAGCATACATGTTCATATTCCCACTGCTGACACCTAGTCTGTCGCTGCCAGCAGAGGATCCCGCGGAGGAATGCTGATTGTAGGAGCTTCCTCCCGGCGCACCATGATACTGTTCATGCTGGCTGTTGTAGGGTCCCTGATGAGAACTACTGCCATAGTAACCTCCTCGTCCACCACCTCCGTCTCTCGAATCTCGACTGCTGTTGTAGTGCGACGATGAATCGCCGCCGCCTGTCATATTTCCACTGCGGGAACCCGGAACCAGATCGCTTGGTCCACCATTCGAGGACATTCCGCTCCCGATACCACTGTGCGGTGGGCCCATCCCGTTGTACGCACCAGGACCTCCAGATGCGTTACTTCGACTATAGCCACCATGAAACGAGGATGACCCGCCTCCGCCGTCCATGTACTGGTCTCCTCCACTGTGCGCATTCATCACAGTGTTGCCCCCAGCGCCTCCATGGGAATTCGACAAGTTGCCACCTTTAGCAGCGGAGGTCTCTCTATCAAGCCAGTTAGGCGTGCCGCCAGGGCCTTTACCCTGTCCCCGTGTTGAAGACGCACCAGGTGGCAAGGCTGACGAAGGATTTCCGCTGTTGCGACTTGAATACATACTATCTCCAGAAGAAGACTGATTTGGTCCACCGCCAAGGCTCGAGGCTAGGTTGAGCAACTGGCCGCCGTGTTGTGACGAGTGCTCTCTATCTCGATCTCCTCTATCTCTACTGTCCCTAGTAATATGCTGTATGTTAGTACTTGAAGAATGTAGCTGCTCCCGTTCCCCACCGTACTGACTAGTACTCGGCGGGTAGTCAGGTGTTTCCCAGGGGTCTATTCTCCCTCGCGATGAATACGTATCCCGCGCACCACCACGGTAGGTCGGAGCGCCACTTCCTTCCGCTGACAACGGCGGGAGCCCCCGGCCGCCGCGCGCCGGCGAGTTGTCCGTTATCGTAGAACCGCCGCCCACGGACGAGACACTGTAGTGTCCACTTCCAGACGTTATGGACACGCCAGCGACGTTATGTTGGTAGTGGCTCGCCAAGAGATGCGCACTGAGGTTATCCCTCTCCACTGCTCTGCTATTGCTTTTCAAACTCACATTTGACAAATTGCTGCTTTTGTTGTAGCCTCGTTCAACCTCGCGGGGATCCTGCTGGGATCCCCGACCACTGATCCTTTCAGTGTTTATAATGTGTGATGAGCCACCGCTTCCGCCCCTTTCCTGAGTACTATAGGAGACATGATGATCGCGGTTTCTACTACCTCGACCCCCCTTAGAAGATGTTACAGACCTTGGTGAGCCACTCTCCTCCGCCTGTCCGCCGAAATCTCCTCGGGCACCTCCCTTGCTTCCGTTATTATAGCTACCTCGGTATCTCGGATCGTCTACAGGCGAGGCCGACGAGTTGCCTCCGCCGCGTCTCGAATGTCTTCCAACGAGACTGTCTCGCCCGAGATCATTCGCGCCTCCAACCGTTACACCAGTCGATGACAATGTCATTGAGCCGCCTTTTGCACTTGTTGAAGATGTTGTTGGCGCGTGATCTTTATTACTGTTCATGTGGTTCTGTTTCCCTCCTCCACTCGTGTTGTTGCTTCCCCTAGAGTTGTTACCTGCACCCGCACTGTTAGTATTACTCGAAGAGCTGTGCTCGCGGGTCATCGTATTACTAAGGTGTTGCTGGTAACTACTCTGACGTTCGTGGTGCTGACTGGCCGTGGAATTCATCTCTCGACCAATATTCTCCTGGTGCTCTCCACCCGACGTGGACGAATGGGCGCTTCCTGAGCCTCCATGATAAGAACCTCCATTATATCGGTTCCCTGCTCCGCCCCCGGTCTGCTGTTGAGATTGCCGGAGACTAGCACTGCCTTCGGAAATTCCGCCTCCCGTCGTGCCGCCTCCGGGGGTGGTCTGGCTTCCTCCGCCACTACCCCCGGCACGCTGATTCTGCAAGGGGGCCGACGACGCAGAGGTATTTGGCGTTTGCAGTGGACTGCCTTTAGCGCTAGAGGTGTTGGAATGGTGAGGATCCTCTTTACTGCCCCCACCACCGCGACGTTTTTTTGCGCTCGTACTGATCACAGGTGCAGAGCCCGCGGGCATCACGCCAGGTGCGCCACCTGGTTTTCGACCGTACTCCCGTAGTTCGGACGCATGGAAATGCGCCACGTTGCTCAGTAAGCTCTCAAGGCTGGCGCTATTTCGTTTCGTGCTGCTCGCTGTTACTCTGTGGGTCTTCTGCGCGGAGGTTGGTGAAAGAGCACTATCTGACATTGTTATTGGGGATGGCGATTTCATCGCAGCTGACGTTGTCCCGCTTTTTGATGACGACCCTTCCGGTGTGGGTGCCGCTCCTGGTGGAACCTGCACCTGGTGCTCCGCAACATAATTTTTAGAGCTGTTGGAGCCTCCTACTGCAGAAGGGCCAGCACTTGCTGTCACTGCCGAACTAAAACTATCGTTGCTTCCAGCGCCGACGCCGTTACCTGATGTTATACAAAGGGATTTACCACGAGAGCAGGAGCGCCGCTGTGGCTGGTACAGAAAAACTAAAACTGTTAGAAGCGTTCCGTGCGCCGTTCCAACACGACGCCGCAGTAGATGAAAAGTAAGATGATGTACCTTTCGGAGCACCAGGTGACCCGCTTCGGTGGGGAGTGCTCGCCGTATTCGAGGATGAATTAAAGGTCGCAGAGGAGGTCGCTCCTGAGTTACTGTTCTGCCCAAAATAAGTCACTGCTCCACTTGCACGACCCGATGTAGTTGGGGCGGCGCTGCGAGTATTAGTGGAGCGTGGCGCTCCAACATTATTGCTGGAAGACGTCGTAGCAGAAGACGAGCTGTGGTCTCCTCGACCATACGAGGAAGAGCCGGCTTCTGTTCCGCCACGCTCAGAGTAAAATCTTGACGACGCCGTGCCTTCACTATCTTTACTGCTGGCGCCATGACTTTTTCTTCCGTGTACACGTTGCCCCGAGCCGGGTGTCTTCAGGGCGCCGTGATTTCCGACACCTGACGATGGAGTTTGCAGGCCGCTGCGTCGCAATTCGTCGCTAGCGACGGAGGCTGTGTTTTCCTGAAGGTTTGGTTGATGAGTCGACCTCCACAATATGCTAGGACGCGGTTGCTCCTCATGGTTGATATTTACTAAAACTTTTATCAAGCATGAAGCAGGAAATAGCACCTACAAATAGGCACCGAGAATTTATGTTGTATTATCTGTCTTAGTTAAGTACCTTCGATGCCTCTGTTGACGCACCGCTTTTGCTCGTCTTGCTCTCCGATTTACTGGGCGTTTGGCCCGTTCGCTTCTTCTTTTTGTTTTTACCCACACTTTGTCCATGCGTTGTGTCTTTGTCGTTCGATGCTAGTTCCCACCGCTTATTTTCCCCCATGCTCGAGGACGTTTCTGTTATCAAAAAACGAAACAAATCAATTGATCAGTAAATTAAAATCGGAATTCTTTGTTGTAGTTGTTCAGAATTTACTTAGTAACGTTGAGTAGTGGTTAATCCTTTAGCTGTTACACCATTTAGAAGATTCTCATATTATCTCAATAACAGCTTAATCAGTACCTTTGGAGGAATGGTGTGAAGATGTTCCGTGACTGTACTCCCGTTGATTGGCACAGTTGGAGGTTCCTGTCTCTGCAATCAGGTGCGATACGGATGACGAGTCAGTGGTTGACACGACATTAGAAGCAGGGGATGTGAAATTAAGTTGTAAAAGACACTTCTAATTCTTCAACTGAAAGAGTGTGCGTGGTTACAAAGGAAAAAACTTATGTACTCGCTTCCATAAAAAGTGGTGGCGGGTTCTTCTGCTTGTATTTTGGCGTTGTTCCAGGACGTTTGGTCTTGCGTCCACTATCTTCCAAACTCTTGCCTGTAGGCTCCAGGGGGGTGGAAGCAGCAGAGGACGTTGCTGAGCTGCTCGCCGAGGAGGATGTACAGGAACTTCGGTCACTAACGTGTTGAAACCCAGTAGACGCAGTGCAAGAAGCAGAATTATTAGCACAGAGTCGTGTACAATTACAACTTGACATGATCATTTTGATTCATTTGTCTATGTGCTTGACATCTCTCTTAATCTGAGTGGTCTTACAAGTCATGCCCCGAAAACTCTTGTCTGACCTGTCTTATAGTATACAAGTCCTGCTCCATTTCCCGTTGGTGAAAAGGTAAAAAATTGTTAACTACCCATAAAAGAAGCTGTCGTGCTGCACGGGCGCTCTCCGCTGCGCTTGCTAGTGGATGTTGTAGGACCTAAGCAGGTATTTGAATTGCCGCTCGCTGGTGCGGTAGAGTTACTAAGGTTCGAAGAGCCATCTTGCTTCGTGCTATGCTCCCCTGGCTTCTGCTTTACGCGATATATCGGCTGCGATCCGTCCTCTCCACCTGCTGCCACCTTTGGCCCTCGATAATCTTTGCCTTTGCCCTTACGATTCTTGCCTTTGTTCTGTCCCCCTTGCATTTTGTCAGGAATCTATCAACCTTGTTTGAAGATATGATGTAGCTGCTTCGTATAAGATGAAAGTAGTTGCGCTGTTCCTATATCTGCGAGCCGTGTCCTGCTACAGAAAGTTGTTTATAAGCTCGCCTTCCTCGTCCTGTAGTATGATGCTGATTCACTAGTATTTTCCGTATACATAATCGACCTGCTCCCAACTTCTGATATGAACGTCGTAGTTATCACAATCGTGAGTGTGCTTTTCTACGTGTTGTAACTCTTGTTTATGACTCAATGTAACAACGGTGTCGTAGTTCAGCAACACCTTGTCTCTGACAGTCGTGTAGTTCTGTTCTTGTGCACTTCTAGTATGATTTTTCAATAAAGGACCAATCTATCAACATCAGCTTTTGTCCGCAGCACATCAGGCTTGGTGCTACTTGTAGTGTGTGTGAGACCCGCACTGCAATCCGCGTCTGTTGAGTCGTTTCCCCGACCGGGGTTAGGCGAAACAAGCAAGCATCACGAGCGGGGCCGCTTTCCTCAAGCTTCTACATGTTGATAAAAGCTAGCCGACATTCATCCGGTTACGAATACCTTCATACACATTCTGAACATCTATGAAAGACGAAGTGAGGCCATGTGTTCGGTCTCAAAGAACTATGATCGTCTACTATTTCTATTCCCGGTTTTCCGACTACGCCTCCAAACATCATCTATCTTCCTCTCGTTCCTTTTTCTCTCAAATAAATTACCCTCTTCATACGTTTCTGCTATAAACGTTCCGTTTTCTGAGGTTTTTTTCAAAAGGTGACAACGGGGGCTTGTTATGAGCATGTCACATCGTCGGATAGCTTCAGCTTGTTGAAAGTGTGTCTACTCGGACCACTATTGATCACTACGGAACGGCGTCATCTTCTAACATCTTCCCCACTGAGAAAGCCAAAGCGAGATACCGTTCTCCTGCCACACGGCACACTCCTACTCCCACCCATACTTCCTGTTCCTACTGCTCCAAGAACACCTGAACGAAAGCAGCAGACCAGCGCCAATCATCTCCGTCTAATCTTAATAATGTATGTAGTATGAATCACTCCGCGCGAGTACCGCGGTTCCGGGATAAGATCGATACAAAATAAAAACCAACATATTAATGAGGCGCACTTTTGTTGCTTTACGTACTTTTGTATTAACTGATCCTGAAGCTACAAGTAAGCTCCAAGATTTAAGGAAAAACGATTCACATTCAAAAAATTGTGATTTCATGACCAATCTGTGATATCATGCTTCTGCGTCCTGCATCTTTCCCCCCCAAAAGTTTATGAGAGATTCGGGTGTCTCCCGAGGCTTTATTACCTCAAAGTGACCCGTGCCCGTAGAGCGGAAGCCATAAGCCGGCGGACAAAAACGGCTGCAGTGTCTTGAGAAAAGCGAGAGACTATTGGCGCCAGCATCTTTTAGGACCACGATGTCTCCCACTAAAAGTTCTGCGGGAAATGGCGCGTCCTTCGTCAAAAAATCCCCCTGAAAGCACAGGGGCCCGGCAACCGAAAACTTTTCCTCGCTAGACGATGCAAATTCTTCTCCCGAGCTCTTGTATACTTCCATCCTACGACCGTGCGCTGCGGTGTAGGCCTGTCGAAGACAACAATCTGCTCCAAAATGGATGATAGCAATATTGCCAGGTCTCTTCAAGTATTCGATGCGGCTCGCTAGGAAACCCAATTTCGCAAACAGGCTCTGCCCGAACTCCGTTACAACTGTGAATTCTTCTGAGAAAAGCTCTGGCACTGCTTCCCTGATTGATAGATCGTTAGCGGAAAATGTTGCAGGGCAAAGAAGCACCAAAACGAGTGTAAAACAAGCAAAATTTAAATTAGAAGTACTAGGAGAGTAGGGCATTTCTCGCTGCCGAACTAAAATGAAGGAAACTACTGACCGAGCAACTCGTCAACGAGGAAGGAAGTGGAGGTGTTAGATCATAAGCATCCATAAAAGCAAAGAATACTACTTACCTCAAGTGTGCTGCGTACTTCGCATAACTTGGAGCTGAGTCGCCATTATCGAACGCGTCTGAGCCGTAGTTTGCCGGTAAACCGCCACCGATGTCCACGTGTGTTATCTGCGCGCGACCCGCTGTACTGTTGATCGTCTGGGCAAGTTCGACAGCTACACGTATACCTGCCGAGAGTGTCCCCATACCCATTTTTCCGCTTCCGACATGAACATGCACTGAGTTTAACCATGGCGATTCCTGTTATTAAATTGTCGAATTAACTGAAGAAAATTTTTTCGATTCTAGGATCACGTCTACCTAATATATCAATACTCAGAGCCAGAGGTGGAATACAACTGCTCATTGAAGAAAATAATCCATCATGTGGTCAGGGTCACGAACCTGATAGGCCGCTAATATTTCTGCTTTCGCTGTTATCGGTATTCCAAATTTGCTGTCCGGCGTACTGACTGACAGCTCTTTGATTTCACCGGCTCCCACCAGTGGGTTGACGCGCAGACCCACCACAGCAGATGAGGATGCCTCAGTCGACACCTCAGCCTTCACTGCCAGCATTCGCTTGTACTCGTCGAAGTTGTCGAGGTTGATGTGCATGCCGCGCGAGTAAGTGTAGCGCAGCTCCTTGACTGTCTTGCAGGGTGAGTCGAAAACGATGCGACTTGGTGGGATGCCACAAGCCTTTTCGCCGTTCAGTACTTCCCCCAACGAGGCGCACTCAATGCCCAAGCCGTGTCGCACGTGCAAGTGGCGCAGCATGCGTGGGAACGGGCAACTCTTCACGGCCGCATGGTGTCGAAAGGAGTTGCCGAATAGAGCCACGAGAGCGCCAACGTGCTTGTCAACCAAGTCCAAATCATAAAACACAGCAACCGGAGCATCGGAGACGCAGTCGGGGTCACCATCGAGGACTCCCTTGGACGCTGCAGCTTGCAACATCTCGGATACGCGCGAAGGAGGCAGAGCATGCTCCGGTGGCGAGCCCGAGGTCAGACCGTCAGGGGGAGCAGAAAGCTCCGACAAATTCGTTGCGACAGAGGGCATTGAGGGCATGATCGTCAATTCCTTTTATTTTATTTCACTCAACTTGTTCGTAGAGGTTATCTACTTTAGAAATTGGTTGCGTCTATTTTTAAGCTCGCAATACTAAAAAGAACTACTTAATATCATAAAGGGTACGCGTGCGCGTCGTGCCTGTCGTGAAAGATAATCGACCTTTTGAAAAAACAGGAAAAGTATTGTCTTGACAGTCTACTCTGCAACAAGAATGACATCCATTGAAGATGGAAAATATGTCGTGGGTGGAAACCTAACCATCACAATCCAACTTATTTCAACTTGGTTGCAACTAGAAAACTGAGAGATGAAGTAGGAAAATCTCAAAGAAAATTGCGATGAACCAATCTTCGATCCAGAGCGAGGGGGTTAAGGAAAAAGTCGTTCAACACAAATGAGGGAAAAGCGAGGGTCTAGTCACACCGACCCACATCTAGCGCCAAGGAAGCAGTACACTGGGTCTACTCAGAGTGGATTCTTGTCAAAGCATCACACAAAGCCTTTCATTATGCATGATTACCGAAGTGTCAGCCACCCGACAGGGGTGGTCGTATAATTCACTCAAACAGCTTCAGCTTCAGGCCACTAAGATTACAAGACGAGACGCAGCACCAGAGGTCTTCTTTTCACAACTACAACGAAGTCCCTCAGAAGTAGTCATTATCGCCTCTTGCCATCCTGTGTGGCAGCTGTACGCGTTACAGCGTTGATGTTGCCTTGTCTGGAACACGACGAGTCGGTGCCCGGTCGTAGTACTAAGAGGCCTGAGAAAATCTTGTATCCTGTCGAGCTACAGAGAGAAAGGTCACTTTCGGGTGAAGAAAGTCCCAGTTAGCAATTCGGGTTGCGTAACAAGTGAATCAGTCGTGGAAAGGGGTGATTGTAGTGCCAGCTAGATTTACTAAAGATTTTTACATGAAGTCTTCTTCCATCTCGCGGCATTCGTCAATGGTTCCCGTATATTCTGGTCCCAAATCGTTCGTTGTCGTGCAGTCGCCCATCCTCATATGCAAGTTGTCGTACGATTTCATTTCTCTTTCCCTAGCCCGTTCTTTTTCTTGCGCCTTCTCCGCTTGCTTTGCCGATGCAACCTTCTGCTTTCGGTAGCTGATTTCCGCCTTGAGCCGCTCATCCAATTTCGCCGCAAGGTCGACATCCACGTCCTTCTTGCTCTTCTCTAATTTCTTCAACAAATCGCGATTGGTGGGACAGCGGCGCACGAAGAAACACTGTTTTTCGTTCACGAATCCAACGGTTCCGGTGTCCATGGTTTGCTGATCTTTCCGCAGATTTGCAAATGGCGTCCATACAACGTCAACCTATTATTTTTGAAGATTAGCGACATTAACACCCATGGACATGCACTTGCACACCATGGATTCTATAAATTTAAATTGTATTCCTGCTACAATTGAAGATAATGTTCAGACTCGTCGTAGTTCTTTACGTACGTAGCTACGTCGTGATGCTGCTGATGCTGGACATAGCTGAATGCTAGATTCTCACTACTTACTTAACACGAGACTGCAAAACTAATACCTCTGACTGTTTGCTCCCTGCGATGCTATTGCCTTTTACCAGCGTGCACATTTCGTCTATGATTTCTTGCGGGATGACTTTTCTGTAGTCCTCTTCTGTCAGCCTCGAGAGTCCTTCCGGTCCCTTACCAGGTATACCGTGAGGTGGGTAGCAAATGTCGAGGAGTTTCCGCCATTTCCCGGTTGGTATCCTCAAGTATACGTGGGCTGACGACAAATCGTTCACGTGAAACCACAAATCCTCAGGGAAGCCGTTTTGCAATAACTTCTCATTCTCAAATTTGTCCACACCACAGTAGACAACCCACGAGGGATCAAATTGCGACGTGAAAAACAACACCATCTTGTTCTCGATCTGATGTAGTTCTAGGTGGTTCTTTTAAAAAAGTTTCTTCATCAAACCGTAACAAGGGAGCTAGGACCACCAAACTAGAAAAAGCTTGATGCCGATAAGCCCGAAAAATCGACTACTATCAATTCTAAGTAAGGTGACGGAACAATAGAGAGCGTCCCAATATTCAAATTTGCGATTCTCCTCTTTTTTTGGCCTGCTAAAAGGGTCGCTGTTTGTCCGTTTTCAAATACTCCTCCTCCTATAGAAATTCTTTTGGAAATATGGTAACGAGGTGATGATTGCTTTCAACATGACGTCGGTGGGAAACTTTATCTTCGTTCCTGCTTTCGTCATTGTCATAGAAGTCATACTCTTGGCGAAAATAGATAATGCCGTAGGAGGAAGAACTACTTAAGTAGAAGATCGTTGTAGCCGATAGAAAACCGAGATCATAAATTTTCACTGCCACTTGATCTATGCCAAACCAGCGTCCTCGCTGGATCACTTGGTGTCTCAGTGCTGTTGCCGTTTTGTTTGAACAAAAATAGTCTTCATGGATTTTTGGATCTTGTTCGCACCTCCTCTGATTTCCCTGTAGTTCAAAGGAGAGGATCTTTCTTTCCTTGACGATGGTTATGACTTGCGTTACCCAATATTTTCATCTGGGTAAGGAAGTTTCAATCATAGACATAGATACAACGTACTTAAGGAAGTAGTTATTCCATGACACATCTAGGCAAGAGTGGTCTCAAAGAAGAAACAGAAAGGAAAAGAAACGCCAAAACTCCTCGCCCGGCATGACACAAGACCAGCGGTAATGAACCGTGGTGAATTCGACATACGACTATCAGTAGTAATTGAGGGGCACCTAATCGACATCCTTCATCTCTACTTTTGTCTCAGCTGTAACCGTCGCAGCATCGGTTCTCGTCCTACCTGATGTCAGCTCATTCAACAAATTCGAATTAATATTCAAATCAATAAAAACGATGCGCAGAAATAGACGAGCTACAGACGATGTCGCAGTAATAACATCTGCCCACAGAAATAGCGTTCGCAGGACCCCCCCACAGAAATGAGTTCTCCCTCATATCCATTTCCATATGATTCAATGTTTAAATTTAACAAAGACAAATAATGAATGCACTACTTCTAACTCCGTTTTCCCCAGTATTTGCAACTCTGTAATTGTATGTATGATATCATCAATATTTTTTTATAGGGTAAGCAATTTTTTTAAGACCTTCAAGGGGTTCTCCTTAAGGAGCCTCCTTAAGGAAATGGAACTCCCTTAAGGAATTTCTATTATATATTTATAGAAATCTATGAAATTATAGGCCTCGCTCCCTTAACCTTAAGGGCAAAAATGGTCCTTGAGGGAGCTCCTTAAGGGAGTACTTGTACTAAAATTGGGTTAATATTAAGCCCTTCCGTAAGGGCCACCCCTTAGGTTAAGACCCTTGGCTTGCTAGCTTAGCCATGGCTAGCTTGCTAGCTGCTTAGCCATGGCTAGCTTGCTAGAGAACCGTGGCTAGCTTGCTGTTCTGTTGCTAGCTTAGCCGTAGCTAGCCTGCTAGCTGCTTACCCATAGCTTGCCTGCTAGGTGCTTAGCCAAAGCTGGTTTGGTTGCTAGCTGCTGAGCTATAGCCAGCAAGCTTGCTAGCTCCTTGGCCATAGCTAGCTTGCTCCTAGCTGCTTAGCCAGAGTTAGCATGCTAGCTGCTTGCCCATGGCCAGCTTTCTAGCTTAGCCGTAGCCAGCTTGCTAGCTTAGCCATGGCCACCTTGCTAGCTTAGCCCGGGCGGCAGTCAGAGTCAGCCTCTTAGCCTAGTCGTAACCAGCTTGCTACGTTTGTCGTCGCTAGCCTGCTAGCTTAGCCATAGCCGCTCCAGCTCGCTAGCTTAGCTACAAGACAGCGACAGCCAACCCGCTGGCTTGGCCGTGGCGGCGTCCATGATAGTTCATTCTAAGCCAGCCGCGCGTCGCTAGTTTGATGACTTAGCGCCTTGCTTCATAGTCTTATCTGTCTAGTTGCGAATCTATGCCCAGCGCAGCGGGCCCTTGATGGGTCCGCTTTCTGGGCATGTATCAATATAATAGGCTTGGGCATAGCGGCAGAAAAAGTAGATTTACAACCAGGGGCTGCCGCTGCGAAAACAACCCGATATCATTATTATCGTCATGGCCCTCTTTTCGCTTCAGCTTGATTATTTTCGTAAATTTGACACGAAAGATTATTTGTTATGTTAGCGGTTATTCGACCGAGCTGCTTTTCCCAAAAAAGTATTCCGAAGAAGGCATGTAAAAGGCTCACACGACCACCAACCTATTTGCGCAACAGCGCACGCCCAAGCATTTGCTGATTCTGTTCGCGCGCTTCATTGGGCGAAAGACTTCGCGCAGGCGGGAGACCAAAAGACTCGCGTAGTTTATCATCCTCCTCACTAGCACTAAGAGCTGGTGGGCGAAACGCTTGTTGGAAGTTTTCTTGTAACCACCGAAAAACGCTGCCGCCTCCTTTTCGCTCCTTCGCGGCGTGCTCATCATCGCTGTTGCTGAGGATCTCTCTTCGGTCTGGAAGCTGCTCAGAGATACCATTCCTCTTGATTGTTCCAGCACCAGCACCTTGACGAGGATCCAAACTAGAAGCAAAACCTTGCTGAGGGAAAAAAGTTCTTGGAGTTCCAAACGACGATGAACTACCCTCGAGGGTGCCAGAATCAATGTGCTGGGACAAAGAAGAGATTCCAGAGGACAGTCCCGACAGAGATCGGCTTACGGCGCGCTCGAAGCTTCTAGTGTCCTGCTGACTTCGAGTCCCGAAGTGCTTGTGTTAGAGCAGTCTTCACTGATAATGAATAAAGACAAACCCAGTTGTACGCAGAGAACGAAAAGGGTCTTCGGTCCCCAAAAAATACTCTGTTTGTTAGTTTGTCATGTCTGTTTTTTCTATAAAAAGGTGGAGTACGTGAAGAAGATAACCCTTTTCGATATCGAAACGGGAAAAATGCATGTCTGATAAAGGTGAAGCTTCTCTCTGTAGTACTGGTAGTCCTACTTCTAGTACCTCTTAAGTTGTACTATCATAATTGTGATACTGCCTGGGTTCGGCCAACACCTTTGTGGTCCACCCTCGAGTGCCATCTTCGCGAAACGATTCAGATTCTGTAGCAGTTTCCGTCATATTTACGTCGTGAATGTGTGGCTGTGAATTTACGGTATGTAGTGGAAGCTTTTCCGATTCAGACTGCCACGCGGCAGATGAACTGGCTGTTGACGAGGATGCGTTCGAGGGCATCGGGCCACACTGCTTTTGTTGGGCAGTTCCGTACTCCATCAGATAATAGCTGCCTGCACTTGAAAAAGCGTCCTGCTGAGCAGGTGTCACAGGTTTACAATCATGTTCTTGGGTCCTAGTAGTTGTGATGTTCGGACTAGAACTTGACCCCGCTGTACTCTTCCGCTGCCCTGCTCCGGCAACAAAGGGCGAGGATTGATCACGATAGTAAGAGGGTCGACCGGGGGCTGTTGCGTTTGGTACTAGAGGTCTGTTTACAAACGGTGGTGCACCTTTGTCCTTTATCCTGAGGTGGAACTTGGGGCTCTCAAAATCATCTTGTACTAATTGATGTTCTGTCTGCCGTCCACCACGAGAGGCCGAAATACTACCTGCTGTGGTGCGTCGGTTGCCGAACGAGGAACTCTGGGCACCGCCTGCCGTGCACAGCAAAGACCGCTGCAATTCACTCACGCGGGCCCTTCTATCGTCATCGCCAAGAGGTATGTTCACCCCGTCATCGCCAAGAGGTATGGGCGCTGCTCCTCGAGGTCCTGAACCAGGAACGCTCATGTTCGCAGCCCCATTACCATTTCTACTTGGCGACGACACCCACGCTAGTGGTGCTGCATTGTCGAATATGGGCGAAGCGTGGGACGACGTTGCCCCGGGCTCTGTGAGAAGAAGGGAGCCGTTGGACGATGTGCGGCCGTCGCTGTCTGGACTATAGAGTTTACTTCTACACTGAATAACCTGAATATCTCGAGTCTGCGGACTTCCAGCTGTCTTTTGTACGCCAGCACTCGCGCCTCTCCTATTCGACGATGCTACGCCTGGAGGACCAGTATCAGATGAAATGAGCTGCGTCGAATGTCCTGCTCCAGATGCGCTTCGTTCTCGTCCGGCGTCGACCCGACTATCATGATTCTGTCCCTGTTGCAGCTGCTGATCATGATTTGGCGAATGATAATTTGGAGTCGCCTCTCCCGATGTGTAGTATCCGTCGAATTCGCCGTCCGGGGATTCAATGCGGAAAACGAACACTGGGCTGGCTGCACCACTCGATGACAGTGTAGGACTACCAGTTGAGGAGCGCTCGATTGAGTTGGAAGTATTTGAGGGTGTCCCAAAACCCATAAAAAAGTCTTCCTTGAAGAGTCCGCCGCGCTGTCTGGCTAAGGAATAGGACACCAACGCGAAGAACCCCACGACTAGCAGCAGAGTCCCTAGTGCTAAAGACTGCAGAAGCGTCGTCTGCGAGTCGGCCAGTGTGACGATCTGAATGCAGCCCCAAGGCGCAGAGCACGGCTCGTACTCCAGTACTCGCGCGCCCTCGAAAAACGGACGTCCGAGGACGAAGTCTACGCTTGAACCTGCGGGTAAACGACGCCACAGTAACCGTACACACGCGGCGTCGCCCTGCGGATCCGCAACCGTATACCTGGTAATTGTCAACATGTTGAGGACCAAGATGATATGACGCGCCCGGTACAACGTTTGCAGCGCAACTTGGAGTGCATTATTCTTGTTCTCAAAACTGTACTTTGAATCCAAAATACTGATCCGCCGTTATCTCAACGCTCGCTGACGATTCTGATAGCGCAATCGAAGAGTCAGCATCTGGTGGCTCTGCTGGTGGCTCTACAAGCTCCAATGGGTTTTCAAATAGAGCGGCATTTGCTGCTGCACTGCTTGCGGCTGCGTGTTGTAGTGAAACTGCACTATTTGCTGCCCAAATCGGGGGTGCCGTCTTCACGCTCGTCCCTGGACAAAGGCCGGCAGCAATTCGCGGTCCGAGGCTCGTTGCATTGTACACGTTACCACTATCGTAAAACTGCCTTGGTGAAGCTCCTCCTCTGGCGCTACTTTGCCCTGTGCTGGAAACAGATGGGTGCGCCGCGTTTGGGTCCAGACTCGGAAACGTTAGAGACGGTTTCTAATAGTATGACTCGCAGTCTTACTCGTCCTAAGAAACTCGTGTGTAAGGTTCTATACAAAAGTAGAGGACTTTAGTTTCATCATGATTAGCTACAAGAACGCAGTACTCATAATCATCAAGTTGTAAAGCACCTGCCCAATTTCTCCCTTGGCATCATCTGAATCACAACGAACAAATCAGGAGAATGTTACACCAGAGACTCAGTGTTCCTCCCTTAAAAACAGCATTTCGAGTGTTGGCAGCCCTGCCTTTTTGTCACTTTCGGACTCAAAACAAACGCGCGCGCCCGACCTGCTTTTGTACGGCGTCGCAGCGTCAAGCTGTCGCAGAAAGTCTTCCGATGCTGCCAAAAAGTCCACCTGCGGATCGATTTGCGCGCGCAAAGCGGGCAAATTAGGCCTGCTAGATAATATGGCATAAATTGACGTCTTTTGTTGTAGAAAGTTAAGTGAAAAACAACCAAGGACAAGAGGAAATCAACATTGGAATGAATTGTACCTAATTGGAGTAAGTACTCATTGGATCCTTGCCGTTGCCCGACGTCTTTTTCAGCTACTTTAGTTGTCATCAAGTTAGTTACCGTGGTTTCGCCCAAACCTCGGAAGCATCGTTTCGAGCATGCAGACTCCATGTTTTCACAAGTACTCGAAGCTCCGACATGCCCGGTCGTGGTGCTGGCTCCAGCGGGCAAACGAACTTCATAGTCCTGATTTTTCTTGTTGTTCGGGTTCAGTTTTAGAACAACCAAGGCGTCTCATATATCACGAGAAAGACAACGCGCTTCATCGCAGAGTTTTGCGCAAACAAATCCGCGGATTATTGGCATCTTTCAAATTTCAAATTATTTGCGCTCGCGACGTAGAAGTGGAAAAGAGAAGCTTACCTCCAGAAGATGAAATATACGGAAAGAAAGTAATGTATCTATATGTATTTCCTTAGGACTATTATCAGTACATCGGTCAGATACGCTGCGGGCGCAGCGACCTCCAACTAATCTTAGTAAGTACATATGATTTATGACCTGGTGGGCCTATCATCTAACTAAATCATCTTTTTCATTGTTTTAGTTTTTCACTCTTTTTCACTAAGTGAGAATGAGACCATTTCGAAGAGGCATCCAGCAAACTCCTCTTGACATGATTGTCACCAGCCAAGAAGGCCATTCATTCCCTACCTCCCCTCGGTGTATCCACATTCATCTCCAAAAGCAAATGTATCGTTTTCCTTTTCCTCTCAGTTTTTGCTCATCCTCTCTTCTGACTGTTGCAGGTCTTTCTGCATCTTTTAGTCAAATGATACATAAATTCAAATTTTGAAGAAGCTAAGATTAGCTGTCGGAGACTGTAGCAAGGATTACTGGTAATATGATGAGGAATCGATACTCTTGCGATAAGCTCCAGTTGGGTGCATGTGCTAGTCGAAAGACTGTGACTGTTCATGTTTTTTCTTCAGACTGCCTTGTCCCAGGTGGAAGTTTAAGTAGTTAAGCGGGTATCTATAACGTTGCACAGGATAAGCCTAGATTTTTTGAGGTGAAAACATCAAGAAGAGTCGCCGCTGAACGGCGCACTAGGTTTTTGATCCTAGGCACAAAACGCCATTAAAATCATCTGATCCTTGTGGCAGTGGACTGAAATTCACGATTTTGTAAGGCAGTAGACCACGCCCTATTCTTGTGCAGCCTCCCCATCCCCCTCTTCCCCTCCGCCATCTTCTTCTTCACCACCAGCGGGCTCAACGCCAAGAGAGTGCATTTTTCCCTTCTGTCCCTTTGTTGCCGAGATTTTGATCGTTTGCTTATCTACGCCAGGTAGTGCATTGCCGTCTTTGTCGGATACCTCCACTTCCATAACGTACTTCTGCGAATCGTCCTTGGGACAAAACTTCCAAAACCTGAGTCAAATTTTTTGTGTAGGGAAGTTGGTGAAGTAGACCCCAACCAACATCCCTAAGAAGGCGGACCACAATAGATGCATTAAAAAAAACGAGTCATGCAATAATCTTCACAATCATTTAGTGCAAAAGTAGGCACTTACTACAGTGCAGCGAGGGCGCTCCGCGTAGCCAAGTCGCGCCAGATTAGCGGAGCAGCACGCACAAGGAGCAAGACAGCCAAGACCGTGACAGACGCAGGCAGCTGCGGCAAGGACCTCTTGCGAGGCGTAGCATGCTCGCGGGAAGGCGAGCGGCGATACTATGCGTTCAGGCTGGGACGCTTGGCGAGCGGAGTCACCGGGGAAGATTTGCCCTGGCCTTGCGGCAAGCACGCAGCACCTCCTAGAGTGCCGCGCGCTCCAGGCTCTAGTAGAGACTCACGGGATTTCGGCGAATGTTGGGGCGGCTGCGTCGAACCCGAAGCAGCTCATCCCATACCTTCGCGACTTAGCGACCAACTTTAACGGTGCGTTCTTGCGAGCGCAGCCGCCATACCTCCAGTGAAGACAAGGGGAAACGAGTAGCGGCCGCTGTGGTAAACCCATCGCTGCCCGCTACGATAGGACGGGGGCCGAGATAGGTGGTGGCGAACAAAGAACGAGCAAGGAGGAGACAAGAAAGTTAGCACGCGAAGACAAAGAGAACGAAGGCAAAACGAGAACGCGAAGAACAGAGCACGCAGACCGCAAAAACGTCAACCAAACCCGACCGCGCCGCACGGCCAGGCGCTACCTACGCACAGTCGCCGCCGCCTGCACACATCGCCCGGCATGCCACAAAAGCTGCAGCTGGCGGAGAGTGTGGCGACCAGATATACCATAGTCGATTGCAATGACGGCCATAGCATAACACACACAGAGCACAAAGAAATCCGGCGGGATCGTACGCGTCGCCCGGAGCGCATCAAAACAAACAAACAAGTACTTACTACATTTGAGAAACTTAGGAAAAATTGACATGTTTCGGATTGTTTCTACTTCGGAGAGACGCTACTTTTAGGTAAGTAAGTCGGTGGATCAAAAAATACCGTTGCCTCTTTCCGTCAACCGCAAACATGCTTGGATTCAGGTTTACTTCGCCAAACCTGCCTACTGGATACTTGGCATCCCAAAGAAGATGCCGACCTTTGTCATTTAGTTTGCCATCCTTCTCATCACCTAAACGCACCTTGTAGAAAAACACGTTTTTGGCCTCAGGGTTTCCAGCGAGAAAATCTGGCTTCATGCGAATGGCCGGATGGCTAACGCCAGGTTCAAAGCGGTCAATACGACAAGCATAGACGGGCTCAGTGATATTTGGCAACTCGAATATCGACGAAGGAGAATCTACTTTCACTTCTGCATAGCCCTCTGCGTTTTCGTATTTTATGCGAGCCTTTTTTCCCGCCTCTCCTGCGCCACCGCCATTTTCCTGCTCTGTTGCAGCCTCTTTTGCTTGCGCTGCCAGAGCTTCCGCGGCGGCGGTGTCTGGTCCCTTTTCCTCGAAGGCGGTTGCCGGAGACGCGAAGAAACTGTCCCAAAAACGCTTCGAGAAAGAAGATAGAATTCGCTGATTTGACGTGTGCCTTCCTGGTAGCCGTATATCAACAGAGCTGCTTCGAGTGGTATCACCACGGAAAACACTAGGCTCAGCAGAATCCCAAGGATCAAAAGAAAAAATTCTCTGCAGCATAGTTCGTTGTTTTCAAGTGCTCGTCCGGCTCCAGTGAAAACGATGAGAAATCAATATTGTCTGTCTTGTTTCCAATACGTTAATCGGATTTTCAAAGTTCTACCGATTCACTCTTGTACCGTTGCTGCGCTTACGAGCTTGTTGAGCTCTGTATTAGTCTCCTCTGACGTGACCTCCTCTGTCGCAAATTCACGCTCGAGCTGAAGAACTCGATTCTCCAAAAAATCTCGTAGGTTTTGTTTGCAACTGAGTACGTCGCCGCCCCAGCACTGACAGGGCGTTCCTTTTCCAGAACCGCCTGGCGGTACGTAATATGGCAGTTTCTTAGGTCTTTTTGAGTCTCCTCCCGGGATGATTAGAATGTGGGGGTCGCTCAAATCCTCATAGAATATCCAGCGAGAAAGAAGGAGCATCTTCTTGCATCGACTACATACAACTGCAAGAATGTGCATACGCGTACGCGATGTATGCAATTGAAACATTGAAACAACAAAACCATCTCAACATAAAAACAGTGGGTTTTGCTCTCCCGAGTCCGGCGTATATTGCCAGTAACGCACGGCGGAACTTCCAGGGTAACACGTCGCGCAACTGCTAGCACGATTCCAGTCCCACCCTTCTGGCGTTGCCAAGCGAGATCGCTGTGCCGCGTCAACGAGCTTTTCGTCACGTGGATAGAGAAGCACTGTGCCAGCCTCACGATCGTTGGTGTCCTGCGTGAAGAGCTTCACTGCGCCGACCCCTTTTCCGAACAGGCGAAACAATGACTGGACCGATTCTGAGAGAGATGGGATCGCGACAGTGAAATTCTTGTCTTCAGAATCTTCAGATGAAAGTGCAGAATGAGATTCTTCACCACTCTCATCTACTCTAGCCGCATTTGCGACGTCGGGGTTTACTTCTTCAGCATCTTTCGAACTTTCTGAACCTGCGTTTTTAGTTGCAGATTTTTCCTCTGCTCCAGCTTCTGTTCCTTCTTGCAAAGCACGCACCTGCCGTGTTGTCCGGTATGCTCGACTCAGATCGTGTGCCGCCGGTCCACTAAAACGCTCAAAAAAACGGTCGATTTCCCAACGTGGTACGGACTCGATGCAATGCAGATTCTTCAACGACCGCAAATCTGCCTCACTTTCTCGCAGCTCTTTCAGTATGTCATCGCGGGACCGCGGTTGCTCTGCTTTTCTCGCTGACGCGGGCCTGTACTTCGTTGCCGCACTTGGCTGCGCTATCTCGTCAAACACTTGATGTAGAAACTCGCTGACATACGTGTTCATTGCAAAAGCACGAGTCTTGATTGCGTTTGCAAAACTACGGGAACTTGTTCCGCTTGCTAGTACGGATCCATACTTCAAAAAAAACACTATGTCTGTGCCACGTGTCAAGAAAGTTATTTGCTCCTATTCTGCAAGTACGTGTGGGGGGCACTAAAGAGGTAGAAGCAACATCAGAGGGATTTTAATCGGGTGAACAGACGGGCAAGGCAGGACCGTTGGAGGAGCAACACTTTGTGTTCTCATCAACTTCCAGATTCTTCACATTATCACCGATAGTCATACGGCATAATCTCGTAACCAATCATCAGCGAACTACCGACGAAACTCATTGCACAGAAACATCGTGCGGTCCGCTCGTGAAGTTCAGTCGTCACTTCACTAGATAACACCGATTCGAAAACAGCGAACGAAAGACCATCCTTGCTTTTCTGTCCCGAAATTTTGTAAGTACACGTCAGAGGTGGAGATCATAATTAGAGATCCGATGTAGTCGGAGGAAAATCGCACGAAAAGAGCCGTTTCGATGCGCCGCATTTTCCTTCGCAGGTGCAGGTGGGTCCAGCAGCTCTTCGACCAGGCGAAAGTCCGAGAATAAGTGTCATAACATAAGAAATCGAAACGGAAAAATATTCATCGCGCATCATTCAACTACTTCTTATCCAGCAGCTTCTGGAATCAATTCTGCCTAGGAAAAAACTAAATGGGCCTCGTCGGTGCACAAGCACAACCTAGAGGTGGAGCATCAGAATGTCGGTACAGGTACTAAGCACTTGCAACAAATAAAAAGCCATGATGTTCAGAACCCGCATCCTTGCGTTCCCGCCTGCAGTAGCGAAGCCTTCTTCCCAAAGACGCAGTTATTCAAAAACGCGTACACTTCGCCACGAGTCTTAAATTTATGCGGCGTATGCAATAGGCGGTCGCGGATGTCTGTACAATGCTGCATACAGGGCTGCTCACAGGTCGCCTTACCAATGCAGCCGCAGGCCGCTTCGCAGATCGCCGCAGGACATGACCCGTCGCTAGCGGTTACACAAGCGATAAACTCGCCACTCGCTCCAGTGGGATGTAGACTGCCGCAGCTGCTCATGCAGTTATGCAAACCGGTAGCGTAGTTCTGACACGAGACGGACATTGCATCGTTGCCGCAGAAATCTACGGCGAATTCCGGGTTAGAAATGACCACTGTGATCTAGGATACCATCATCTTTCCCGAACTGAATTGTAGCCGGAAGCACCAGGCGAACTGAGCGTCCAAAGTGGGCTAAGATTTCTTGTCATCTCATTTCATTTTCATAACAACAGGCGCCGGTGTGCAACGGCCCAATTCTTTGCTACGACGAGAATAATCGACACATTTGCTGCAGTCTGCTTCCGGTGGCAGGCAAAACTTGAGACTTTCACACCATGTCTCGTCCTTCTCGCACTCCGAGGGCTGCTGCTCAGTCGGTTGTATCGCTGCCTGTGACGGGAGCCGACTTCCGTTCGTGCCACGACCGAACAATTTGTCCCTCAGCAAAGTTTTCTTCAGCGATAAGCCTGTGCTTTGGTGGCCCACCTGCTCGGAAAAGGCGAAGGGCACCAGAGAAGCGAGCACTACGTGACAGAAACGAATCATTTTCTTCGTTAATATCCCATAGCGACTTTACAGTTAATGTAGTCCATTGATGCCGCTGCTGGTGGAGCAGGTCTTCATCTAGAAATCTCTTGTCCATCATGGACGTGATTGACACCGATTAATGACTACGCTAGAAACTCTGTACTTCGCTCTTATTCATCTAACTAAACTCACCACTCAGAAAATCTTCTCTCGCGAGTTTATCTATCAAAAGTTTGCGAAGCAACTGATGTGTGCAAGCGGGCTGCACAATCATTGTCTATTCTTTGAGCATAGTGAACTCAATCAGGTACTTGCACCTTCAGTAGCTACGAGCAGTCTCCACCCGTTGCATTATCGGTCGAAGGAAGACAGTGGTTGCAAAAAGCATCCGCCGCTGTGAAGATGATTATGATCAAGTCGCAGAAAAGCTGGTGTCTTTGACCTGAATTATGTGTCTCAATTGGGCAAAGGTGCGAGCTGCATAAATAGGGGGCGAGAATCTTGTTCGAGTTCTAGCACTTAAGCAGATGAAATTCATCATGATCTCAACACTTCATCGAATTTATCGCAGTGAATTTGGAATGCAGGCGAATGCCAGTGGCCACAGCCACATTTCAACCCCATCCAGGAAAAAGAGCCAAGCTTAGCCTTACACCGGTCGTTGGGACAGACTAGTTTTCCTGCTTGTTCTCCAGCGTGCACTATAGGTGCCATCCATCCTAGTGGCTCCACGAAGAAGCTCGGAGTGCAACTCCGACCACGTGCTGCAGCTTCGGGATCCACCTCGTGCCTCTGGATGTGTGCAGCAGTGAACAATGGCTGACGACATCGTCGGCAACGGTAAAGCGCCGGCAACTTCTCTGAAACGCGCACTTCAGGAGGCGAAAGAGGATTGGGACAAGAAGAGGTGTCGACATTTGATGTTGCTGGTGGCGTTGAGTTTGAGGCATCTCCAGAACATGTCTTTGATGTCTCCCCTTCTTTTTGCTCTGCCGCGGCACTCTCGGTTTTCATTGTTGTCGTTTGGTCGTCTACGTCTGTTGTAGTGGAGACAGGGGATTCTGGTGGCACGGTGCTTCGATCTGAGGGATCTTCGTTCGTTGTTTTCGTGTCGCAAGCTCGGTTTTCATCTCCATCTAGTTCTAGAGTTTCTTTCGTAAGAACTTTGGTCGTTGTAATCGCAGAAGCTCTTGCTTCCACTTCCGTTCCTTTTTTTGTCGAGGAGGAGCATGCAAGACGTTCAATCTCTGTTTTCCAGTCAGGCCCCACCTCCTTCAAGACCCAGAGTAGGTCTAATCGTTCTAGTTCTTTCTTGAGGACTTTGCTGGCATCCCTGAAGCTCACGCTAGTTGTCGACATGATGCTCCGCAGCAGAGCCGCACACAAGCCTGCGCGCTGTTCGCAGGAGGCACACCAAGATCGTGAAAAGAGCCTGTCCACGTCAACAACGCTTGGCAGTAGGCTAGCTAGAGAGGGCGCCGAATCGCTTCCAGCCTCATCAGAGGACGGCAACTGTCGAGGCCAGCTGCAAGTTGAGACTTCACTCGTGAGTACGGGAAGCTGCAGCTGATGGCCAGTAGAAACCAAAGACGATGATTCATGTTCACCAGGCCGCCAAAACACGAGTCGGGCGGTGGCCCTGTACGAGGTGCTACCTGGTGCTGTTCCAATGGCAAAAAGCTTCGATGCTGCAGTGAATTTGGGTCGTCCGTTTACAAGCAGCAGGCGATCAGCATAGTCAAGCTCCAGTGCAGCTACTGCATCTGCATGTACAACATCTATTTTTTCTCCGCTCTTCTTCTTCCTTGCAGCACTTCTGTTCGCTGCATTCCATCGTGCAAGCCACGACGATTCTGGATGACTCTCATCCACGACGTAGTTCCCATGTTTCAGCATGTTAGGGTGCCACGAACACACATCACCAACAACAGATGCGCCCTCTGGAGACCCACCATTTTCTGCACTTGTTCGGTTTTCCACCTGACAAGAACTAGTGTTCGTCGTGTCAGAATTATTCGTCGCGGTTGCTGAAGATTTTCGCAAACGTACTGCTATCAGGCGTCCTGTCGTTGGCATGTAATCGATGTTATCGTCCACATCGTGTAAAAAGTCCAGAAATCTATCGTCTTCAGACGTACCGGACGATGTCGCGAGTAAATTGGAGAAGCGCTCAAAGGCACCCTGGACCTCCTGCACAGCCCCCGAAGGTCGTGCGCGACAAGATGAAGATGCGCTAGACCTAGTGGCTCGCGAAGAGGAGCCAGTGCTTGCAGACAACATTTTTTCCTAGTAGTTCCTCTTACTTCAGACGGGCGCAATTACTAGATAACGCTATCGGCCGCTTGCACTTACTCGGGGATTTGCTGGGTTTATGCTCAAAAATTTTTATCCCTTCCTGCAAGGTTTAGGTCGATTGACTCAATTGTTGTTTACGCCAATACGTATTAGTCGTAGTTAGAAGATTGTTTTTTTTTAGAGGTCGGCTTTTGGTGTTCGTTTATCCCGCTTGTTATGGCTGTCCTCCTCAGAAGAGCCATAACAAACGGTAACAAAAGCACCCTTAACCTACCCTTAATTTTTAGGAGCATGTTGATATTTCGGAACTGATGACATGTCGTCTAAGATGTTCATCATACAAGGATTGAAGGATCTCAGGAACAGGATCCGTAAGTATCCGGAATTGATCCGTTTGAACTCCTAGCCAGCGGCTGTGCACGAAGAACCACGAAGATCCTCCTGCCTTTCCTTGTATGATCTTCGTGAACTATCGGTAGTTTTGTCGGTCCTGGAGATCTGTAGAGGAGCATCACAAGACCAAAAATAAGTACAACAAAGCGAATGACTGTGATCTTTCCTATCTAGCATCTTCTGTTGTTGAACACCAACAACCGGAACCCGGTCTTCTTGTCTCTACTGAGCGAAGCAACGGTAAGTACAGACTCATGTCTATCTATCAGGTATTATCCTCCAATTCCTTTCGCCTTCTCAAACGCAACTTCTATTCTACGATGTTGCGTTTTGAATTCTTTTCGAAGTAAATCAATTGCCCTATCTACACTCCTGTAGTCTCGCTTTTGCAACGCTTGGCGCATATCGCGAGACACGGACTGCACTTTTCGCAGACCCTCTTTCCCGAGGTCGGGAGCAGCGGGAGCATGTTCATGTGGTGCGTGCTTCGCTGGATGCTTAGCTGCATTTTTCGCTGATGATGTGGGGACATTTTCCGCCGAAGGTTCTCCCTCTTGTTCTGTCTTTTTTACTTGCTGATGAAATTCAGACTCTTCGTCTTTGTGGTGCTCCTGCACGCTATGCCTTTCCTCATGCTTGTGCGGCGACGGTTGTGCTTCTGCCGCCTCATGTGACGTGGTTGGAGGCTTCTTATCTTCAGCCTTGCCCCTTTGATCTTCAGCTTTTGGCTCAGCTTTTTCATCTTCAGTATGTACTAAACCCCTTGAAGCATGTGAAGATGGCTTCCGCTCTTGGTTTGCGGGTTCTTGATTCTCTTGCCCAGTCGATCTTGATGACTCCTTCTCTGCGTTTCCAGCAACTTCGTCGCTTTCAGCTACCTTTGCGTTCGTCGATGGTGCTACCTTTTGCTCTTGTGCTTGTGCGACTCCTCTCTCTTCAAGTGCCATATCAGAATGTGTTCCGGAAGGCAGTTGCTCTTCTGGACGTTCATGTGACTCTGCTTTTGGTGCCTCGTCTCCACCTGTACCTTGTGCTTCACTTGTCTCCGATTGTTTCGCAGCTTCAACTTCATCTGATGAACCTCCGTCTTCATTTCTTACCGTTTCTGAAGGTTGTTTCTCTTCTCCTTCTAGTACGGCAGTTGTTTTTACCTCCCCTGCTTCATTCTCCTGGTCCTTTGGTGTGTCAATGGTTTTAGAAGGCTTTTCGTCCAGCGAGGGTTCTTGCTCTTGTGCTTCATCTCCATGTTGATCATGCGGCGCATCGCGGTGCTCAGCATCTGTTTCGGGAGAGGCAACAACGTCCGCTGGCTCAGCTGACGCAGGAGATGTTTCAACTTCCCCTGCATCTGATGGTTGCCCATCGTCTTTTCCTGCATTTGAAGATGGCGGTGCCTTTTCTCCTGACGGCTTCGACTGTTCATCTGCTGGCTTCGACTGTTCATCTGCTGGCTTCGACTGTTCATCTGCTGGTCGCGACTTTTCATCTGCTGGCCGCGGCTTTTCATCTGCTGGCCGCGGCTTTTCATCTGCTGGCCCCGGCCTTTCATCTGTTGGCTGCGGCTCTTTCTCTCCAACATCTGGTGCGTTCGATTCTCTATTTGATGGCTCCTCCTCCTGCCCATGTTGATTATTTCCAGGCCCTGGAGATTTCTCTTGCCCCTCTGCGGTCGTACTCTTTCCGTCCCCGGCTGCCTCGCTTTCAACCGAAGTTGTGCCGCTGCGATATGCGTGCACGACGGCAGAAAGTAACAGAGCACAAAAGAGGCTTCTCATCATGATTTCAGTAAAACCAAGAAAGAACGGTCAGCAAATTCCGTGATCAACTTTTCATCAAATATGACGTTGGCTCGCTTTGAGGTCCTTGCGCACGTCTTGTGAAGGTTAGATGATGAGAAAAGTATCCGTGGACAAGATCCAATTTTGAAATTGTGAAGGCTTACGCAAGTTCGTATCAGAAGCAACAAGAAGAACGATCAGTGCGCTCTGTAGACAATCCAACGTTTCGTCGGTAACGCCCAACACCTTGGTCCACGACCACGACATCGGCATATACAGCGACCATCCATAGGTTTCTAGCCTTTGTACTTCACTTTGCTATATTCACTTGGTGCACAAAACTTGCATTTTTTCAAAGTCTGACATATTTGCAAAAAAAATCAGTGGTATAACCTGCTTCATCACGGCTGATTCACAATCCTCAAGGCGTCTTGTAGTGCTTTTGTGTAGTGATTTAACGCTTGCACTATGTCGTCGTCTGCCTGCTCTCTTGCTTCGGATTCCAGTACCAGTCCGTTCTTCAAACTAGCCACTTCTTCCAGTATGAAGGTCTGAAATTTCTCGTCTCCTCGCGCACGATGCCGCTTCGCCTCTTCCAACTGGTCCTTCAGTTCCCCATACGTTTCTTCCCGCGATACTCGTTCCTGCTCCAAGCGCGCTTCGGCCCGCTGCTCATGCTCCAGCAATCTGAAAAAATTTCAGAAGAGCCAGCTAAGACCATTTCATCTTTGGTAATGACAGGGAAGAAAACAAAAAAAAATGATCAAGCACAAGAGAAGGCCAGCATGGAAAGACTGCCGGTTCACAAGATGTGGCTAGTAGTACCGCTTTTGTATCATGTTGTCCCGCTCGTTTCTTTTTGCCTTTTCGCTATCGAACGTCTCCTGCAGCACCTGCACATCTTTTGATACCATTTGTTAGAAAGTGGCAACGCTCTCGAAATTGTAACCATAATTACCTCGACGAAGATAGCGAGCGACTTACTATGATGGAGTATTCTATGATGTCCATTTATTTCAACTGCACACATCTTCATCGTAAATAGTGGTAATTAATTGTTTGGAAGGGCGGTGGCATGTAGTCCTAACGCAAAAAAAAAACATAAATGCAAATAGGGGTACTACTACCCTTTGATTCATGAAGCCGTGGTGTACTTTAACAGGAACGGAAGATCGTCACTGTTTCAGCTTCTGCTTGTTTCTTTTACCTGAATGCCTGTGTTGGGGCTGGGTTTTGTGAGGAAGGAAAATTTAGTCTATACAATCTTTGTAAGTTCTAAGGAGTCAATTTAGGATCCGTTTAATTTAGGCGCCGCGCTGTTGTCCTATACTGCCCTAGAGGTCTTCTCGTCGAAGGCGGCGGGAGCCTGTGCATGCCTCGGAGAAGTGCTCTTCATCATAAAATCCAATTCCAAACATAAATTTGACTTTTGTCCTCTAAATCTCGGATGTAGCGGTCGCGCTCCGTGGCAAAATCCCTCTCAACTAGGGACATTCGGTCAGAGAGTTCGTCTACAGCCAATTGAAGATGGTTCAGCTTTTCGACGAAAATCGCTTCTAACTTCTCCTCCACCGTCCCGATCTGGGCCTCAAACATGCCTTGGAGAGCCTGTATTTGCAGTTCCAAGTAGGAATATCTGTAGGCTCTGCAAGATTGAAGAAATAATTGTATCAAAGGGGAAGTTCTGATCACTAGTAAGAATGATCAACATAATTTCTGCTGCTGTTCGGTAGACATCGAGTTAATCCAAACTAGCTAACGAGCACGGTGAAAAAAACGAGCAGCGGAAAAACCTTATTCGACTCCACTCGCCTCTTGATTTCGCTGTTTAACGTTTTTTCTAGCTTCCCCATGGATTCCCGCATGACGTGCAATTTCGAATCTTCAGCCTCCCTTCTCCGTTTTGTCTCTTCCTCCATCGTCTTCTCGAAACTCTGGAACCTCTCCTGGAGAGACCCCAAAGCACGACCTTCACGCGTCACCTCTGAAGACATCTTTCTTGACGAGGGGTTCTTTGGATATAACAAGCTCGTCCTGAGATGCTGGCCGAGAAAGTGAAAGATGCAACAACAAATCAAGATAGAACTACAAACAGGTCGCGATCTCTCGTCTTCCCTGATGACAATTTGTTTCTAACATTGGGCTTGTATTTTTGGTAAAAATCTTCTTCCGTTGGCTCAGAGTGTTTCCAGTTTTCGCGTTAGATAGCTATATGTTCCAAGGCTCAGAGCTGAAGGCCCCCCCGGTCTAACTTTTTGAGGGGGGGCCTCCACCCCCGGGCCCTTTTCCTGGAGGGACTGCAAGGCGGGAAGGCCTCCAAACGCCCACCTTCGAGCCCTCGCGGCTCTTTGCCTGTTCCCTACAGAAGCCAAACCCATGAGGCCGCTCAAGCACACACGGCCGGGGGTGGAAGGCTTCCGAAGGCGGCAAAGATGGCAAGGCTTGGCCCCCTTGCCGTGTTGCGTGTGCTCTTGTTGCATGTACCCTACAGACCTCCCACGCCGTGCTGCATGTAACCTACAGGCCTCCCGTGCCGTGTTGGATGTACCCTACAAGCCTCCCGCGTGCGGGCTCCTCACTGGGGGAGCTTCTTGGGAGTTGGAAGGCCTCGCCCGAGGGCCGCAGGCTGTAGAGATTGACTCCTTTCGCCGGGCTGCATCCATGTAACCAAGAGAACCCAGGCGAGCACGCCTTGCCCCCCTCCTCCTCGCCTTTGGTCCTCATCTCCCCGCGCGTTTGGTGGCGGCTGACGCGGCCACCAATTGGAAGGATCGATGAGCGCCAAAGGGGCCAGGCCTCTCGACCGTGGCCGCCTTCGACGGCCTTCTTCCCCCGGAGGCCGTCCCCCTGATCGGGTCCAAGAGTCGGGACGCCTGTGGGGTACACGCGGAGAGCCGCCAGGGGACTCCGGCGCCGCCTTTTGAGGGCTCTGCTCCCGGGAGTCCTTACATGTCACCACAGCGGAAAAAAAGGCGCGCGGACGCCACCGCCGCTCCATCCACAGAGGGGGGCCCCTCCCTGGTACATATATAAGTCTGGTAGAAGCTACTTGTTCCCAGGTTTATCCGCCTGTCTCTCTTGCTCCATTTCACTGTTTCGCTCGCTCTCTCGACAACATGACACTTCATGTTGACCAGAGTATTTCTTCATTTTTCCAAAACTACAGCACACTGACTCCATGTGGGAAGGACTACAGTAGTGCAGACAGCTGTCATTTCAGTCCGTTGCGCTACTTCTCCAAGAAAACAGTCGGAGCAATTCCAATTACTTGAATACCTTCAAAAACTCAACCAAGTGTACCAGCGAAACACGGATATTCTTAGAAACAGAAAATGAGGAACGAGCAATCGGCAACTTGTGCTAACTTATGTATGGTATCTTTATTGTTTGCGAGAATGCGCGTGGCGAAAAGGGTGCTGCATTATCGAAGCTAATTTCAAAGCGGTAGACTGCCAAATGCTGTGGCGGTGGCGGCAAATGGTCGCCGTTGCTGTCCATGATCTTCCTTACGCAATCCTCCACCGCTTTGCCCACAGCTGTCGAAGCCTGTCGCTGCAGCTGTGCTTCCTGCATCAGCTGGTCCTCCGGGTTCTGGTAACGTCTCAAACTCTGCAAGGCCACTGGTATCCTCCAGTTCTCGAAGATGATCCTCTCCTCTTGCCCAAGCAGTAAGTTCCAAACCGACGCCTTCTTGCTTTTCGTCGTAAAAAAGTTGATACATAAGCAACCACCGGTTCTCTGCAGATTGCGCTCGAACAAATCCGCAAATTCATGGACCTGAAAAGAACACAGGACTATCCTTCGGAGTCGGAGAAAACTTTGACTTTGAAAGTAGCTGCTTGTCGTGCCAGTCACCGCTATTAAACAGCCGATCACATAAAGTTACCTTACTTTCCACCAAGTCGATTATCTGCGGCTCCTCGAGTCGACAATAGGCAAGTTCAAGCTGGTCCGACCAGATCGTCCTGGGTTCAATGGGCTGTTGTCCGCCAATCGCTCTTTGAACTAGAATGGTGTGTAGTAGAATACGACCTGTTTCTTTGACATGACACAATGCAACGCGCAGCTCGTCGAGAAAAAACTCTGTCACGTTCAACATCCTAGGTCAGCATGCGGTGGTGCGTGCCCTTCGTCATTCCGCATGTCCTTGCAGACTGCGGGCTACGGTGGAGCTATTGCTATTGGGAAAGTTGTTCCTGTTCGTATCCACTGCGACTATTTGAGTTGAAGTTGTTGTATTAGTATTCTGTAGCAACGACGTTGTAATGAAAGATGCGTGGTAGTAGTAAGCCGGACAGTCTTTCTCTGGTTTGTCCACGGTCGCCACTCGCTAACCGGATTTCAGTTTTACATAGCTGACCCGAGTCACCACTTCACCGGGAGAACTAGCGAAGACAATCCGTGTGGGTGTGAGTAGTGCACCACATGGGCTTCGTTACGTCAACAATGATGTCCCGTTATCATTGCAGTGCAACATGCTTTAGCAAGTGCAAGCAACAGGGTCGCAGTCGTAGCAGCCCGCTCGTGTCGCACAGTGATGCGTGCTCATTCTTGTACGAACGAAATTCAGTTGTGTTGTATGTAAACCGGAACTCAACACAAAACTCCTTGATTAATACTCTTAACTTCGCTCTCTACTCTAGGTGAAGGGAGACAATGTCGAACAACTCACACGACCAAAAGTATAAATTAATACGTATACGCTGCGGCAAACCGCCGAAACAAATATGCTATCTCTATGCAGTTGCTTCTTGGTGCTGCTGCTGCCTCAAGATTCTCATTTTCAACCTCAGCCTAACCCTTTTTTCTCCACAAGAACCTTGTTGGACTTTGGCGTCTCTCCATCACAGACTCCCAAAGAAATCACTTGACTTTGAGGTGACTCCTGTAAGTTTCATGCCAGGCTGCTGCTCGTATGTATAGCGAAGCTTCTGTCTTTCCTACGGCCTAGTTGTTGTTGTCTATTCCGCAAATTTCCAAACCTTTTTCACGTAATGCTAGAATTCTCTGAAGATGAAGATGGTTGATCAACCAAAACAAGTTTTGTACATTTACGTTGTGGATGTGGTCCAGCAAATGACTTCTAATACAACTGGAATTCAATGAATGCTCTTCGAGCGCTTACTGAGAACTACACGAAGCTTACGTCGTGTACGTTTCTTAGATCAATATCGAGTACTTAGATGAGAACAAATCGTACGATGTACAGTTCATTTATTTTTCAATCTGCTATGATGTATAATTCAGACGAACTGCCTTGTTATACTTTTATGCAGGTTACTACTTTGTATTAGATGCTTGTCGATTCGATAAATAGATGCATTGCAGAGAAGTGTGACTTGCGAAATAACAGTCGATTCACTGAATCATGTTTGTAGACTATGCGATAAACTTGAAAGTAGAATTACTACAACTTGTTATAATTTACTAATAATTTGTACATTTGTTTAGAAGCACAAAATGAGATAGGTAGTGTATGTCCTGATGCAGTAACAGATCATTATGATACCCTAGATAAGAAGTAAGTAGGTCGTTCTTCTTCTTGTTTCTCCGCCCAACAGCCGCCTCCTATCCGAATAGCGCCATCATTTTCATGAGACCGCCACCCTCTCCATTTTCGTTTTCTGCGTCGGCTCCATCGTTGTCCTTCTCTTTAGCGGAATCCTTTTTCTGGAGCTTTTTGTGTGCGAGTTCCTCACGCCTCTTGATCCTCTCGATCTCCTTCACTGACGCTTCGAGCTGCTGCGTCGCCGCGGAGAGATTCTTTCGGATGCTGCCCTGTGCAGCTTTACTGCTCTCTAAGACCTGTTTGCGCCGTGTCTCTCCCATCATTCCAAAGCGGTCTTTGCGCTGGCCTTCTGCCGCTTCGTCGCGGTTTACTCGCTTGATCACGTCCGTGTACAATCGAAGCACGCGCTGCTCACGCTGTTCAAAGTGATGGAGGGTGAAGAATTTCACGTACCATCCTCATCTGCGTTCCCCAGCAGCTACTAAGACTCTTCGACTTCTTGAAATAGACAGACTTTGACGACTTTGATAGGGTTATACATAGATACATTCTCTAAAAATTACCTTATCTGTTCGCTGTGTGTCGCGAATAATTTCGTGGTTTCGATCGACATTGGCTTTGCACCGGTCGCGGATGTACTTCATGTCAATGTTGTCTTGGGTCAGAATAGGCATGCCGTCACCTATATTTGCTAGTGTCTCATGCGCCGGGTTCACCAGCATCGGTCGATCTTCAGGATCTCGGAAGGAGTACATCTCTGGCAGCGGAGGTCGGATCTTCTGGAGTGGTGACATGGTGCCCTTGTCCGGAGTGATCAGGTCGTCGAGCACAGTGCCCTGTATTGCCCGACCGCGAGGTGACAGCTCCTGAGTGCTGTAGACTGTACTACTTGGCGAAATCGTTATCCTCTTGCTACGAAGTGCTGACTCCGCTGCGGTGCGCACCAAGGAAGTCGAAGTAGTAGCTGCCTCAGGAAAACCTTCTCCACTTGAGGAGAGAAGGAGCCCCTTTCCAGTCCGTACCATGCGCTGCTGCGCAGCCTGTGCTGCCGCGTCGGTATCTCTTGCCCCGTAGCTAGCTGCTAGCAACTTTCGCCGTGGCCGGTCGGCGTCCTTTTTACCGGCCTCGCGATCCTGATACCACATACCATAGGGTCCTCCGAAGCCACGCACTTGCGAGTACTGCTGAGTCGGCGACAATGATCGATTACCTGATGAAATGCAGACAATGTTGACTGATTGACGCTTCTACTTCGTCATGTCTTATATCAAAAATTGGATGAAGGGAGTAAGACGAAGTCGAGGGAAAATGGACTAACACAAAAAAAATCTGGAGTCAGAAATCGATCGGCGTTGAGAACAAGAAGTATTTTTAGCAGATGGTATTGGTACTATGTATTCATGTCGGCGTCATAACCTAAGATTTGGAATTGAGTCCTACCATGATGGGCATAGGTAACTAATGGTGATGGAAAGTTACCTGATCTTCCGAGTATCCAGCTCTGGCTGGTGAGATAGGCGTGGTTCAGTTTCGCTGGTTTTGGAACGTAGCAGCTCGATATTGGTTTGTGCCATGGCACGCGGCCTTCTGCCATCATCTTCTGTTCTACTGCTCTACAATTCCCTGCCTTCCAAACATCCAAGATGGTCTTCGTATGCAGATCGTAGGCTCGATCGGCTTGAAAGTCCTCGAACGACTGCATGAGCTTCAGTCGGCTTTGGCTCACAGGCTGGATGAAAGACGAAGCCGGTTGTGTCACAAACAGTTCTAGACCCGCTGGATTCGCACTGTGCGGCAGCATTCGACCGGAAAGCGGTGGTAGCACTCTGCTCGCTCCCTCTAGGGACGAACGGGATGGGAGCTCGTGCGACAGAAACGAACTCTCGGCATTGAGACCCGTACTTACCGTACTCAGGGTGTTCTTCTCGGCCGCTGAGCCAGCACCTGCATCCTCAGCTGCGGGAGATTTGCTTTTGCTATTTTTCGCAGGCGACTTTACTTTGCTAGTACTTCTCTGACGTCTACCTGGTGATTTGGATTTGTCCTTCTTGGACGGTCTCTGCTCTGGACTCTGGGCTCCCTCGTGACTTAGAAGAAGTAAGTACTGTATTCTAGAAGGAGCATCCGCGAAGATGAAGATCTGAATCTGTCTGCATTGTCCTCCCCAAGAAAGCACTACTTGCATAATTTTACACTACAGTGAAATCTCTTATATATTAAATATGTATAATTCTTATAAGTTGATAGATAAAAAACATAACAAAAAAAAAATCTATATTATATTATTAATCTATATTATTAATCTCCGCCGCCATAAAACTCCCCGCCTAACCCACCGGAGATTAGTCGCCTCCTGCCGCGAAGGTATTGCCCATAGCCTCCTGCCCTTTCCCCTCACTCCTAAGCCCGATAGTCTCCGGCCGTTTTCTTGTTGGAGTTCACCTTTCGGCCCCGTGGCAGACTACCAGAAAAGAAGCCAGAAAAATGCCCGACGGGGGTAGGGGCGCAAGCTGGC